ATTTTTAATAGATTAATTTTTTCCATTAGATATAAAAATGAGAAACTTTATAGTTTTCAGTATTTTACACAGACATCCTTCATGAATTTTCAGGCACTTTGGGGCTGTAACCTCGCTTTTTTGGGGTGGACCCCGCATGACCCTCCCTCATCCCCCACTCACCTCATTGCTCTCCCAGTGACATTTACTCACCCCCACAGAAGGCACGAAACAACTGCCCTGTCCAGCAGCTCAGTGCATCCATAAAGCCATCTACCTGTGGACATCCCCTCTGAAAAGGGGGAAAAGTCAAGGGAGGGCAGCCCCCCAAGGGGTGGGAGTGCCCCCACTTCTGTCCCACAGGCTGATGGACGCCCCACAGTACAGGGAGTGTCCCCAAGGATGCTGCCTTGTCTCCTGCTCAGGCTCCACTGAGCCATGTTCCCTCTTCATTCCTGCACTCTGGCCAGTGTCAGGAGATGCAGGAACCAGGTCTAGAACATGTCCCCTGTGCCAGTCAAAACCAGACCAGTGGAAGCACTCACAGCTCTCCGGGAAGAAGCTGATTTATTTAACACAGATGCTCTGCAGAAGTATCCAAGCTGCAAACAGAAACCTCATCCTGGTCCTCAACATCTGGCTGGGGAGAGCTCCCTGGAGATGGGGGATATCCAGCTTCCTGTGCCACTGGAGGGTCTTCTCCTGCACTGAGGCTGCTCCTCTGTGCTTCTCCAACACAGGGTGTGTTCCCAGCTGGCACTGCCACAGCATCCCAGGAGTCAAGGGGTGGACGCTGGTGGCTGCAGGACTCTTCCCGCTGTGCTGCTTGCTCCTGGGAACACATCACTGGAATGGGCTGGGCTCCCATTTTTACTTCCAGGTTTTCCTCGTCCATGTGCATCTTCAGGGATGAGTGAGTTCTGCTGATACCTGTGGTTTCGAGGGAGCAGGGAGACTGGTCTACGGGGGCTGCTCCATCTGGAGTCTGGCAGTTCTCACTGAAGCTCTTGGAGGGATGAAGACTCTGGGAAGAAGTGAGGCTCTCAGAGGACTGGAGGCTTGTGGAACTGATGGAAGCTCCCGAAAGGTGCATGCTCTCGGAGGAAAGGAGGCCTGTGGAAGGAATGCAGGCTCTTGGAAGGTGGAGGCTCTCAGAGGAATGGAGGCTCTTGGAGGGAACGGAGGCTTTCGGAGGGATGACGGCTCCCCTATGGCATGGTCGTTTTGTAAGGATGGAGCGCCTCTTACAGAATCGGGTTCTTGGCAGGAATGAGGATACAGAAAAGACGGAGGCTTGCCGACGGATGAGGGCTCTTGGAAGGACAGAGGTTCTCTGTGGGGTCTGGCTCTTGGAGGAACGGGGGCTCTTGGTGGAGCCGGACGAGCTGCAGCAGGGCAGGTGGCCTCGCTCCACCAGCTCCTCCAGGTTCTCCCACAGCACCTGCCACATCTCAGAGTCCAGTGGGAAAGACATCCCATTCCCAACCCACACCAGCATCACCAAATCCTGCAGCTCCTGGGCCACTGCCACGCAGGGGGTGCAGTTGGGGCCGCAGGCACAGGGGATGTACTCGGGGCTCACAGGAGCATCTGGATGCTGGGGAGCGTTTGCCTGAGCTGTGGAGGAACTGGGAGCCTCCACTGGGGCTACCTGGCTGCTCGGGGAGACCCTGGCCAGGCTCCCCTGGTTCTTTGGTGTCCCCAGCACCCGTTGCTGCCAGTGGCCGATGGCCAGCCAGACAGCTGCAGTGGCCAGCAGCAGGACAAACAAGGAGAGGAGGATGCTGCCGTCGCTCATGGCTCCGACACGGCCCATCGTGACCCCGCTGGGAGCCGGGCGGTGGTGGCACCTCTTGTGTGGTGATGTCAGTCCTGTGGGAGAGGACACCTGTGTCATGTCATGGCCCTGCCTCACCCCAGTGCTCACCAGGGCTTTGTGGGGGACAAAGGGGTTCCCCATGGAGCAGAGCGGATGGAACATTCTCAGCCAAGCAGGACACAGTCATGAGGAGGAGAAGGAGGATGTTGTCACCTCCTCGCTGGCAGAGCATGGGACACGGCTTGACCCATGGGACACTGAAGAGTCCTTGAGGAGGGCAAGCCCTGCTCAGCAACAACCCAACCATCCAACTGGTTATCCCATCCTGAATCCAAACCCAGTGCTGTGCCAGCTGCTATGAAGAAAGGAACTCCAATTATCAGCAAAAAGCAGTACAGCTCTCAGTTCTTCACCCAGCACACCCTGTACCTGCTCATCTCAAAGCTGGACACCTTCTCCGAAAGGATTCTGTGAGGGATGTGATCAAAACTCCAACTAAAATCCCAAAAAAGAACATGCACTGCCTTCCCATAACACACCAGGTGACCTTATGGCAGTGGGATTCTTTCCTTCCAGCTGCTTTCCCAGAGATTCATCTTGCTCCTGAAGGGCCAATGGCAGCAATGGATTCATTTCCTCTACCTCCAAACTGCTTCCCATCCAACAGATCCCTATGAGCATTCCTTTTCTGGTTGTTCCTACAAAGCCTTCACTAAACCTTGCAAAGATCTCACCATTCCACCCTCACATTTTGCAGTAGCCAACACCTCCATTTGTGCTGCCATGAGGACCAGGATGGGGTTTCTGACATCACACAGCTGTCCCCACCCACAGGTGGAACCCATTGTGGGTAGAACTGCAGGAGCTGGTGAAGCAAGGCCACCTGTCCTGCCACGGCTTGTCCAGTTCCTCCAGCTCCTGTGGGAGCCTCCATTCCTCTGAGAGGCTGCTCCCACCAAGAGTCCCCACCCCTTGGAGAGTCTCTGCCCTTCCATCAGAGATCCTCCATCCATCCAAGAATCAACCTCTGTTGAACATCCTCCTTCCCTCTGAGAGCTTCCTTTCCCTCTAAAAGCCTCCATCTTTCCAGGAATCTCCGTTCCTCTGAGAGCCTCCATCCTTCCAAAACCCTACATTCCTCTGAGTGTCTTCTTCCATAAGCATCTGTCTCTCTGGGAGCCTCAGCGAGACCTGCTGGACTCCAGACAAACAAGACCCTGTGGACAGGTCTCCCTGCTCCCTTGGAGCTGCAGGTATCAGTAGTAGAAATTGCTCATCCTTGAAGATGCATGTGGCCAGGAAAGGCCTGGAAGTAAAAATGGGAGCCCAGCTGGCTCCAGTGAAGAGTTCCCAGGAGCACAGCAGCAGGACAGCAGGAAGAGTCCTGGAGCCACCAGCATTCACCCCAGAGCTCCCAGGACACTGCAGAGGTGTCAACTGACATCACCCTCCCCTCTATGCTGGACCCGTTCCTCCAGCAACAAAGGGAGTTGGAATTCCCCCATCTCCAGGGAGCTCTTCCAAAGTGGCTGTTGAGGATCAGGAAGAGGTTTCTGTTGACAGCTCTTTGGGAAAAACCTGTTTAGAGCAGGGTTTCCGATATATCAGAGGCTCAGATTGCTTGCAAGCAATAATTCTCCGTTGCTCAGTAATTCTCCCCCCAGCCTTTACAAAAGAAGTTTCTGTTCAGGTAGTTGCAAAATAAGCAAGTTTCTGAATGCTTTGAGTTAGATTAGTTGTCACACAAGTAAGTTCTCGATAAGAGATGCTGAGCAAAGACACTGCAAATACACTGCTCGGTGGACAAGTTCGAGCTCCAAACAACCACCAGAGACCTTCAAGAGACCACCAGAAGACCTCCAGTGACCAAATAAGGACTTCTGAAGAACTTTGTAGAGCTAGTTACATATTCACTGCTTCTCTCAGAAAGTTCACACATATGTAAGACACTTGATGATTATGGAAAATTGTAAGTAAGTAATTCCCTACCTGAGGGAAAACAGGACACACACAATTAGAAGAAAGAGCCTCCCTGTGTGCCCAGTACGGATAAATAAATAATGCCTGCCCTAAAATGAGTCTTAGAAGATTTTATTTGCCAACTTACAGTAACACATTGGACTGGTTATGACTGGGATAGAGCTCCTTTCTTCCCAGTAGCTTGCACATGCTGTCCTTGGATCCAGAATGGGAATGTTGTAGATCTCACGTGGTGGTTGGGTTGTTGCTGAGCAGGGCTTACCCTCCTCGAGGACTTTGCACTGTCCCATGGGACAGCCCAAATTTCCCACTCACAAAGGTGGGATGGGCAAGAAGCTGAGTGGTGTTTCGTGTGTGGTCCTTTTTTGTCAGCTCCGAGGTTTCCCCTTCTCAGCCTCAGCTTTGAGGTAGGAAAAAGAACTGACCCTCTCTCTCTCCGGGCTTTCCTTCTCATTCACAATTGAAAGCTGTTGAGACCCTGGGCTCGCTGGAACCTGTGGGTGTTGGACACCTGTGGGTGTTCTCCCAGGTCATCCCCGATTATTTAGGGGGCGACCGCTCCCGCTCACGGCCTCTCCCATAACAGCGGCTCCTCCCTCGCCCTGGTTGTCACAATGAGGGGGCTTCGGGGCTCGGCTGGGCGCTGGAGGTATGACTTCCAAACGGCCCCGAATTCTCGAGGCCAGCCAAGTGGTGGCACTATTCCTCTCAAGGAGCTGTAGAGAGCGAGAAGGTCCCCCCTGAGCATCCCTTTCCTCCAGGCTGAGCCCCCTCCATCTCCCTCAGCCGCTCCTCATCAGGCTCGCCATCCAGACCCTTCCCGGGGGCATCCCTTTCCAGCGGCGAAGTTTCGCCAGCAGAAAACGCTTCTTGTCCCAGACCTTGTGTGTGTGTGTGTGTGAAAAATATACTGTGCGAAACCGAAAGAGGTTTGGTTTTGTTTTTTTTTTTTTCCGTGCGGCTGGCTGCCCTGCAAAAAAGGGGGAAAGGAACCTCTTTTCGGGCGCAACCGAAGAGAGCTGGGAAGCCGCTGGTCCGCCCGCGCGAGCCGGAGCGCTGGGGCTCGTCAGGGACGGTCAGGGACGGATCCCCTGCCATCCCCCGCACGGCCACGGGAGATCAGGGACGGATTCCCCCCCGCACGGCCCGGGGAAGGCAGGCTCGACTCTCCCGGCCTGCCCCCTCACGGCGCCGGTGCCGCCCCGAGCCGCGGTCCCGCCCCGCCGGCGTTCCCAGGAAGCGGGAGCAGGAAGCTGGAGGGCGCGGGGATGGCGGGCAGCGGCCCGGCGGTGAGCGGGGAGCCCGGGGATACGATCGGACCGGGAGCGGGGCGGAGGGGCCGGCGATGCCCGGGCGGGGGGTGCGGAGCGCCGAGGGCCGCGGGCGGGCTGTCCCCGGCGGGGGTTCCCACCAGGCTGCGTGGGTGGCACTGCGGCTCCCGAGCGCGTTTAAAGCCTTTCCCAGGGCCGTGATTTCTGCTGTGGCGGGGGCTGCTGTGGGTGAAGGCGTTTTGCCAAGGGGCCAGCCCTGCAGGGTGGTGAGCGCCTCTGAAATCTGGTGCACATCTTAAGCACATCCCTGCTGTGCTCCGCGAATGAAAGGACTCGTCTCTTGTTGGCTGTGTTTAACTGTGCCTGAAATTGACGGCCTCGTTTGTATCAACGGAACTTGACACACGCCGTGGTAAAGAGGGAGGTGTTTGTGGTGTGCAAGGCATAAATAGTAATGGCTGGTAAATGCTTTGTTAACTGGCAGTGTAAAGGCCATTGCCATGGGCCTCACCGAGCTCACATGCACAACAATCACGGCGCCCACGGGGATGAAGGTCTGCCGGGACCGTACCCCATCGTTGAAGACCCCAGCACCTGCGATATTGTCAAGGCCACACAGTAAGTACATGTTCTGAGTGTGCCAAGTGGTGAAATAGATGGGAGTGTCCTCAAACGTGAGCCAGGCTGGATATTCTTACAAAGAAAAACATTTTCAGTTTCGTTTCAGTTTCTTCCTGTAGTGGAAGAAGTTTGTACCATACTCTGGGGCACATGGTGTGGCTCTTGGGGATGGCCCTTGTGTAGGGCTAAGAGTTGGACTCGATGATCCTCGTGGGTCCCTTCCAGCTCAGCATATTCTGTGCTTCTGTGAAGAAAGATCATTTACAGCTACTGTTGTAAATATTTTTATCATAAACAAAGGTATTTCATTTCAAGCAGGTTTGTTAAGTAGAAGGTTTGTTAAGAGCCCAGCTCTTTTTGCAAGACTTCCATTGAATGCAGTGCGGAATTTGCTCAAATAGGAACTGCTGGGTGATGCTCACAGAGATTTATTCTTTTTTAGTATGTGGCTGTCTCCAAACTAGAGATGTTTAACAAATGATAAATAAACTGATTTTTTTTCCCCTCATTCAAGGTATGGAATGCTAGAGCGATGCAGAGAACTGGTAGAAGCAGGATACGATGTTCGACAACCAGACAGAGAAAATGTGACTCTTCTTCACTGGGCAGCAATAAACAACAGACAGGAACTGGTTAAGTAAGTTCAGGAGTCCCTGTGAAAGTAACACAAGTATTCTGCCACCGTTACTTATAATCTCTTTGTTGCTTTTGTACTTGAAAACTAAGGAACGTGCTGCTTGAGGCGTAAAGCATGAAATTCAAATTTTAACCCAATTACCTCTGTGGAAATGTCAGCTGCAATGTGAAGATAGCATGGTTTCTTTCTATGTGAAATCATGTAGTACATGAAATCATTTTCCTAGGTTTGGTTTGTTTAACAAACATGACAGCTGATTTTATAAGTACCTTGCTAATGACTGTATTATTTTATCAAACGTTTTCTACAAAAGTGTCCTTCACTGCAAAAACTTTTGTTGATTTGCTTCTCTAGTGATTTTTTATTATTATTGTGAGCCATTGCCACACTACTAGAGCTATGTTATCATTAGTATATATTTATTATGTCTTATTATGTTCTTAATCTTACTGTGTTGTTATTACACAGATATTATATTTCCAAAGGTGCAATAGTGGATCAGCTGGGTGGAGATCTGAATTCTACTCCCCTTCACTGGGCCATTAGGTATGTTGCAAGTGTAAATCTGTTGATATTAAAAGCTATAGGAGCATTCTGTGGGGTCCAAAGAACAAAGCACTGCTTGTCTGGAGAAAACATAACCTTAAATAATTATTCTGGGATAACTTCTCTGAGTGCCAATTCTCATACTGGAAGATCAGTGCTTTCTTCTGGACTATCAGCCTTCTGCCAGAGTTGGATGCTTGGATGACTGCCTACAGGAGAGATTACTGTAGAAAAACCACTTTATTCTAAATTAACAGTTTGCCCTAGGCTGATTTATTAAGGTATATATTTAATATAAATTTCCTGATACAAACTTGTAGCTTAAAAGTATTTTCCTGAATAAAAGCATGAGAATCTGAAAGAGAATTGTTTTTTTTTTTTGTGGGGTCTCTCTGAGAATTATTAGGGCAATGCTTTCATTAAAATACCCATTTTTTTTTCCACCATCTCTATAGTTTCATTTCATGTATCGTTATAGACAAGGACACCTACCCATGGTCATGTTATTGTTGAAGTGTGGAGCGGATCCCAGTCTTATTGATGGGGAAGGATTCAGTAGCATTCATTTAGCAGTGCTCTTCCAACACATGCCCATCGTAGCTTACCTCATATCAAAAGGCCAGGTATGTTGGTGATGGTCCCAGGTGTTGTGTTCCACTCGTGAGTAGCTGCCTGTGTGTGGGATGCATTTCAGAATTTGCTGGTTTGTTTCCTAGGTGAAAGGCAGGTGTTTTAGAACTATTTTTCTGTGTTATAAGTTCAGATAAACTTACCTTTTTTTTTTTTAATATATTTTTTTAATTATTTTTTTTAACACTCCCCCTTGTTCCTCTCATCCCCCCATCTCCAGATTCACCTCCATTTCAGAGTATTTAAGGAGCGTTGCTAAGGCTGAGCAGATTTGTGGTGCTGTGTAAATGACAACTGGCATTTAAACCTGAGAACAAAAAGTATATGATGGATATACATCATTTATGATTTGATTACAGTTTTGTAACTAGTCATCCATGGAATTGTCCATCAATTGAAGTATGATCAGAATAGATCATCAGACTAGGTCTGAATTTTTATTAATTTCTGTGTTTTCTTTATTTTGTATCCATGGTAGTGGATATCTCCTAGCTTGCATCTGAAATAAGCAGAATTAATGACAAGCATAACAGTTTTCTAATAAAAAAGAGAGAAGAGGTTTTATATAATCAAGACTGTTTCTTAGAAACATTGAGTGTTAAGATTTAAAAATTTTCTAAGTTTATTTTCTTTCTCATAGAGTTCTCTTTGGTAGAATAACTGACTTCTGGGATGTAGCTATAGTGGTGTATGTCACAGACTTACTAAAGCTGTTAGCTCACCTATCTTCTGCTGAAAAAATCCAAGTGTTTAATCATTTCTTTCAAGTAAATCTGTTCTAATGTAATGATAGGTGGGAGCAGGGAGCAAGGAAACCTTCGTGGTTCAGAAGGGAGAAAATTAGGTAATACAAGTTACGTGTTTATGTTTTGAGATATGCAATCAACCAATCCTTTGTTGTTTTAATAAACCTGTTTGATGTACCTGGTCGTTCTGTTATGCATTCTGTTTACACAAGGAGGATGGTTAACGTGATTCACTTGAAAATATCCTTAGTGGAGACTCTCCCTTAGAAGTGACCTTAGTGAAAACACAGAATATTCTGGAAGGAATGACGTGCAAGACTCGTAGAGGGAGGAAGAAAGTTTAAATGAGTGTTGGCTTTTTGGCTGGTGTCATTTGGTTTCTTTCCATTTTTCTTTTCATTCGTGAAGCTAAGCCAGTTGTGACCACCTGGCTGTTTCCTGAAATCACTGGTAACCACTTGCTTGGTTTTTTTTTTCCTTATTCTTAGAACATAGACGCAACAGACCTCAATGGACAAACACCTTTAATGTTAACAGCACAAAAAGCCATGGGGTAAGTAGTGAATAACTCAGAAGGGTCTATTTTATTGTACCCAAGAAGCAGTGAGGTGAATTTTTTCTTACCTTTTTTTTTTTTTTTTTTTTAACTGACATTCCTTTCACTAAAACATGCAGTGTTTCAGAGATCAGGAGTTAGGAAGTAGCTCGTTGGATATAGCAAAGAAAGAATTTCTAAAAGAAGTTTAGGTTTGTGGCTGAATCATCTGCAGCCGCCTTGTGCTTTCCCCAAAATGAAAAGAAATGGAAGCAGACGCAGTGAAACGCATTTAGAACAAGTAAAATGTGGAGATAGAAGCTTACACCTGGTGTTGTAGAAGATACAATCTGTGTTATAGACCTCCTATTTGTTAAAATCGTAAGGTTACATGATCTGGAGAAAAGCCTTCAGGGCGGGTCCTGAATTCTAAACTTGGATCTCTTGTTGATGAGCTTGTTCTGAGACAGGATGTTGCATATCTCCTGTTGTTTCACTGATTTTTTTTTTTTCATTTATAAGGCATTCAAAAGTTTCATTTCCAGCCTAGATTCTCTTCTGCTCGTTAACTGTTATACTTTATTTTCATCTAGACCAGAACCCACGAGGTTTCTCTTAAAGTTTAACCCCTCTCTCAATGCTGTAGACAATGTTCAAAAGAATACTGCACTGCACTGGGCAATAGCATCAGGAAATATCAGTGCAGTGGATCTGTTGCTGGAAGCTGGTGCCAGCCTGGACATAAAAAATGCCAAGGTATGATTTCTTTCATGATATTTCATCCCACGTAGCATAAATGTGTAAAAGAAATGTAAAGAAAAGTCCGAGCCCTCTCCACATTGGGTGTCAATTGGAACAGGGGCTGACTAAGAGCAGAAGTTCTTAGACTGCCCCAGAAGGACTTAGCAGCTTCCTTGAGGTGTGGCTCAAAGTATGAATGCACAGGTTCTTTACAGCGTTTGTTTAATGAATAGCCAAGCCTTGTGTTCCCTCAACATTGCTTCATTTTCTTGAGGGGGTTGTTTCATTTCTTCATTTCTTGATTTGGCTGCTTTCTACTTCAAAATGTTGTCCTGAAGACTAATGGCCTGGGGCAGATTTTAAAAAGTGACAGTTCCTTCATGTCCAGTCAGACTCACAAAGACTTCAAAATACATGTGAAAGCTGGCGTTTGGCAATGCCTGGGTTGGTCACACATGAAAGGCTTCTTGTTAATATTTGTAAAAACTGATAGTGAGAACTGTAAACGTTGAAAGTATCGATTCCTATGACTATGTAGATATGTTACTGGAGGCAGTCCAGCAGATAACTCAGATGGATGCAATCTGTTTGCAAGTGTCAGTTTTCAGAATTACAAAGCATGTTAAAACTCTGAATTTAGCTTACTTTGCCTTAAAAAATAGAGGGGGGGAAGGGGGAGCTGAGAAGTAACTGCCCAGTTATTCTTGTTTTAACTATATTCATTTCGTGCTTCTGTTAAAAAGGGAAAGTATTTATGTGTTAAGTGCATAAATAAATAACTTTTCCTGTTGTTAAAGGGAGAGACACCGCTTGACCTTGCTTATCAAAGTCAGAATCACTTCATGGTTTATATGATGAAAGAAGAAGAAAGAATGAGAAGCAGGAAAAATAACAGGTTGCTGAAAATAGTAGAGAAATACGAGGTAATTTCCCGAGTGATAACTAATGGAAATAAAACTACAGCATGCTGTGTTTAGAGTGATATGCAAATTAACTCTATTCTAACAAGCAATTTCTTAGATTACTGAAATTGAGCGCACAAAAAATACTCTTTAAAAGCACACAGCAGTGTCTTGAGTGGGGTTTTTTTGTGTCATTCCTCCTCCCCTGCTTTTGATGTGTTGATGTGTCACCTTGTCTTCCCTATCTTGAGTCTTTCAGCATCTGTTATTACATTCCTGCTTGAATACTTTAACAATAATACAATAACAATAAAGCAATAACTTGAATATTTTCACAATAATACTTTTAACAGCTCTTCCTGATGGTGGCATCTTCCTTGGCGTTCATGTGGGCCGTAGGATACGTCGTGAACTTAAGTTCTGATTCTTGGCTTTTGAAAGGAGGTTTGCTTCTCTGCCTGCTGTTTGGGATGGCTCTGTTTGTCAGGTTTGTGGCTTTTTCTCTCTGTGTGTGTATTTAATTGTCAGAGACGTGATACATTTTCAAAGTTTAGTTCCACATAGTTTAAAAGATACCTCCTGAGATGTGGTTGCAGAGTGTGTGATGAATTTAAATGTATGTACTTTTTAGAATGAATGACCATAGAAATTGAATGTCTTTAGGTGTACACAATAACAGCTTCTTGTCACTGAAAGATTAAAAAAAAAAAAAAAACCAACAAACAGTTTGTTAGCTAATTTTAATGTAGAGAGTGTTATTGATGGTTTTCATCTGATAGACACTGAGAGATCCATTCACAGTGCTCACAAATGTGTTTTATCACAACTTTGTCCTGCTGTATTTTGACAGAGAACAGGTTTTAGTGAGCCATTCCCGCTCCTTCTGCCTCCCCAGAGCTCCCAGTGTTATCCTGGGCTGTTTTGTACTTTTTTCCTGCTTTCTCCAACAGCTCCTGCAACAGTCACTGTTCATTAATGTGGCAAATAGACAGAGACTGTACTTCTCACCCAGTGCTACAGCACTTCTCATATATAATATTAGGCTGGAACAGAGCACTCTTCAGGTTTATTTTTGCATTGTCAACCCCCTGCCCATCTGGATAAAGAATCCTTTTGAGTGATAGCTCTTGATTGCTTTGAGAGGCTTGAAATATATCGTGTGCATGAAGTTTCTACAATAACAAACCAAATTATTTATATTCTGTGGACTTGTGTTTTAAATATATTTTGAAAGATATTATTTTTTTTCTTTTAATATTCTTTCAGGCAACTTGTGGGGCTCAAGAATCTAAGGTACCTTCCCACAGCATTTCTGCTAAGTTCAGTTTTTTGGATGTCCATGACCTGGTTTTTCTGGTTCCTGCCCGATATCCTTTATACTCAGAATTTATACTTTAAAGTTATTTACAGACTAAGAATATGTACCTTCTTCTGTCTTTAGCAGATTTTTGTCTTCTTTATAATCTGAACTGTTTCATATCTTACTGGAATATCAAAATGAAGATTTCAGTTACAAATCCAGTTGTTTCTGTTAGCATCTCCTTGTGACTTCTTAATCTTCCTCATGGAGTCTATCATGTAGTCTATGATGTATTTTGGCATGTGATGTAACTGGATAACAGATGCATTCATAATAATTTTAAAAGCATCTCTTCTTTCTAAAATGACAAGGATTTGGCAGTTAGTGGTGTTCCTGCTTCTGCCTTTAAAAACAACACCCTCCACACACACCCCCAAAAAAGGAACAAATTTCTTTGTGCTCCTGCAAAATAGATCGTCCAGTCTCCTGTTTGTCTTTATTCACTCTGAATCCTTAGTATACAGTGGATTAATTTCTAGCTCTCACTTGCTTTCTTTGAAGAGGCTTTTCATTGTTGAGTACAAAACCATTTTAGTAGTTTGCACTCTCTTCAGTGCCTTGCTCTTTTGTTACACAGGGGGCATGTACTTATTGGTAAAGTTTGGTGAGAAGGCACTTAGGAAGATACTTAGAACTGTAAATAATTTTGTACTAAACCAGCTATAATATATTGCTACACGGTTTCAATTAATTTTTAATTCAGCCTTTTTTTTTTGTGCTGTTCCCAATTAAGATGTCCATAATAGAATTACCAGGATTAACTTCGATGAACTGATCAAGTATATTCCTGCTGGAATACACGTGCTTGTCTAAATGAAAATTGTGTTATTCAGTGCTGTGTTGTGAAGCTTTAAGGTTTTCTTGGTGTCATCATAAGGGGAAAAAAAAAATAGTTCCAGGGACAGGGGATTTGAATCAGGCACTTTGCTGAAGATAATGAGCACAGCGGTGTCCTTGAAGGTCTAACCATAGCTTGGTGAGGTGGGTCAGTGGATAGTTTCCCATTTCGCTATCCAACCCCTTTTTGTCATTAATATGTTTTCCTTCTGGAACTGGTCACAGGTCTGAGTGTTATAAAAGTTTTCAGGATTTTATTTACCTGTATTTGTCTGTCAGACTGTTCCTCTGGACCGAATGAAAATCCAGCTGTTCTAATTAACAATTTCAATTAGCTCCAAAAAACCAATAGCAACGCAAATAGACCAGCAGTACCCACAAGAAATGCACCATCATTTGACTCCTGCAACTGCACCCTGCAATTGCATTGTAACAAACACAGCTGCTAGTATACAGTGCCAATATTTCATAGTTTATCATCTTGATTTCAATCAGGACTGTTTGCAGTGGCATTAGTTCATAAGACAAAGCAACCTGGAGGCTGCAGTACTGGATTTTGATTTTAAGGGTTATTTGCAGTGCAGTTTTATAGAGTGACTGAGGGGTCACTGGAGATGCAGTTCAAGCTTGGGCTCTTTGCCTGCTCCTTGAGGGCATCAGGGACTGTTCATATGATGGCCTCTGAAGGACAGAGAAGATCCTGCTCTAAGGGTGAAGATAATTTTTTTGTGTGTGTTGCTTGTAAAACAACATAAACTAATTTTAGACTATTTTGTTTGTTTGACAAACAGTGGTGATACATGGTATAAAAATATATTCCTTAACCTGACAATTACATATAACAAATATAATTCTTGAAATCATTGTCATGTTCAGCATGATGGGTCTTCTTTATTATCTCTATAAAACTTGGAGTACCGATCCTGGGTATATAAAGACTTCAGAAGAAGAAAGAAAAGAGGTAGGTGATTTTGTCAAGGCAAATGTGAGGCCTGTAACCTGGTGCAATATGTATGTACTTGAGGTTGATCTGTTTGTCACTGTGTGCAGCTTTGATAAACTTGAGAGCAGTGAAATATTCTTCCTTTAAGAGTTTTCAGCAAGAGAATTTCTCCTCCTGCACTGCTTGTTTCCTTGTCTTCATCATCCTGCCATGATTTCCTTGCCTCCATCCTTTTTCACAGAAGTGTGAGCTTGGCCAAACATCTTACAGAGCTACCAGTGTTATCTGTGATATAAATTCACATAGAACTTCGCTTAAGAAATAGAAATACTGTGGGGTTTCTGCTCCAGTTGCCTGTGGCTAAAAAGAGAGACGAGCAAGGAGAACTGTAGTCTGAAGTCTGGCTGACTATGTGAGAGATGCCTTGTATGTAAACACCATCTCACTTGAAAGAATAATTAATTCACATTATTTATTAATTTTGGCAACACAGAGGTACTTTCCTGTGTAATCTTGTATGGGTTAAACTGCATTAGTCTTTACTGGTTTGTGTTTTCTTGTGGACCTTTTCAAATAGCAAGTTTTTATTCCTGTCAGTGCTTGGCACTCAAAATACTTACAGACTGCAAAAGTCATAATGTAAAAATCTTCACAGCACTTATGAAAATGTGATCCAAATGCAAGCACAAAATACTTTGTCTTTCAGAACATTATAGCTCTTGCAGAAGCAGGTTGCTTGGACTTCAGAACGTTCTGCACATCGTGTCTGGTAAGTGGGCATTTGGTATTTGTTTTCCTTGTGAACCTGCATTTTACTCAGTGCTGCTGTAAAAAAACATTTTCCTCTCTGCTTGTCATTTGAGTGTTACATGAGGGGTTTGTTCTATGTTGTTTGAATTTCTTTATATTTTACAGTGACAAGAGATGATTTGAGATGCTTGGACTCTAATCTTTAAAAAAAACCTATTTCCATCTCTTTTTTTTTTTTTGTAAAATTAAGGTGTATGGCTCTCATCTGTGTTCTGTTGTGAGGTCTGCTACACAGTAACTGTGCAAAATGTGCACAACCTGTAAGCTGATGCTTTAAACTTTGAGCAAAACAGATGCTTCTGCTGTGAGTGTATTCTTTTCCTTCATCCTCAACTAGGTAAGGAAGCCTCTGAGATCTGTGCATTGCCTTGCTTGCCAAGCATGTGTGGCCAGATATGATCAGCATTCTCTCTGGACTGGACAGTGCATAGGTGAGAGCGTGTGTTTTATCAAATTTGAAAATGCCACATATTTTAAAGGTTGCAGAAGTAACATTTATCTCCTGAAAGAGGGAGAGCCCACATGACACAAGAATATGCAGTTAGGTGGAAGAGAGAAAGTCAAATAAAATTATTAAAGGGATAGAGTGGTCACCCTAAGGAGTAGACACTACAAAGTCTAGAACTCTGTCTTTTGAGAGAAGAAGGAACAGGGGATGTGACAGAGACGTTAAAAAAGAAAGGAAAAAAATATGAAGATGGTGGCTAAAGTGAATGCAGAGCTGTCACTTAACAAGCACATCGTGCTAGAAATAGGGATTTAAAATTGGTCCTGTCTTTACATGGCAGGCAGTGAAATTTTGGTGCTTGCTGCTGTGAGGGTTTGCAGATACAGGCAGAGTCAGAAGGCTCAGAAAGGGGGTCAGACAGACTTTTTTGGGCAACATGTCCAAAAGTAGATACTAAAAGAACTAGACAAGTGTGCACACTCTGACATTTTAATGCAGTGGCTGTGGGTGAAGAGAGTGAACTCCAGAAACTGGCCAGGCTTGGGTGTCCTCCCAGCCTTCCATTGCCTCCTTCACTGTTAGAGACAGTTGTGAGAGGAGCAGCTGGACCCCTGAGATAACCCCGCAGGGCGTTGTTCATGCTCTTGTGTTCTTTCCTCTCACCCTCGTTCTTCCCTCCTGGCTCATCACTGGTGATACTCAAGATAGGAAGGTTAGACCTTTTCATCTGTAACAATATATTTTTAGCCTTTTTTTTTTTTGCCAATTTTTTTGTGATATTAAAATATTTTTGTTATGTTAAATCCTTGGAAATACTCTTAGGGCTTTTGCTATTTACAAAGGTGGTAGGACATACTTCTGATTCATTGTCTGAAAGCTCTGAGCAATATGATTGTAATATAAATAAAGATAATTTTATATCTTCATGGAACATTTCTCTGACAGAGGTCTGGGATGTTTTTGTGTATGTTTGCAGTTCTGGAGCACACAAGGTCAAACAATCAAATTGAATAGCTTAGACTTTTCAGCGATATGAGACAGTTTTCCTGTGCATGGGGGAGAGCTGTGGTTGCATAATTAGTCCTCATCCAGCTAAAACAGCTGAAGGCATGCTCTGAAGAAGACACAAATCCTGGTTGACTTTATCAGGACTAATTCTATTCTATAAATTGGGGTGGCTTACAGGAGAAAGTTGAGAGGGAGATCAGCCTTGTCAAGCTCTCTTGTGGATGGCTGAGGTAATAACAAGAAATGGTTTTGACTCGCTTTTTATTCCTGTTAACTTCAGGGGAAATGCAAATACTGCTGAATTTTGAATTGTCAAACTTTTTTTTTTTATTATTTTTTCCTTGCCTCAATTTCAGGTGTTGGGAACCATTGTTATTACCTGTTGTTCCTGACTTTCCTAACGATGACAGGTGTCTGGCTGCTTTATGGAACTCTTCTGTGTACGTATCCCTGAATTTATTTTACTTTGCCTTTCAAGCGCGTGTGTGCCTGGTGTTTATTTTTTTTCAGCATTTTGTTTCCAGCAAGTGTAATTATACCTGCACAAGTGATGCCATATTGCAGCAGTGGCATTATTGTGTAAATAAGTGGCAATACATCATGGTCTTTACTCAAATACCGTAGTTCTTGCTCAACACAAAAGACACAACTCTAGTGGGATGTCCATTCAGCAGGAAGAATTTTTGTTAAGAGGTGAAATAGAGAAGCCACGTGGAGGAAGGTCAGGTTACAGGTTCTAATCTGGATGCCCTCTACTGTAATAGAAAATAAGTTTGTAAACACATTATTACAAAAGCTTTGTTGATTCTTGTTATTTGGAAATATCTGTATTGGATACCTGCAAGAATTTCTTTTCTGTTTTTAATGTAGTGATAACTTTGAAGAGAACTGTGTATATCATTAGTAAATTCGAACTGTTGCTTTTAAAAATTAGGAAATTTCTTAGAGGGGAGAGGAGAACCATTATAATGTATTTCCTGGGGGTGAATTACCACGGCACCAACCTTTTAAATTAAAAAGCAGAGGGAGTTAATTTTATTTCATTTTGCTTCACATTATGAGGCAATACTCACCACAGAGTTTTCTCCATTTTCGGTATGTGAAGGAATGTGGGAGGAAAACCTCTTTATTGCTCTACTGATACAGAGAAGAAAAAAAAGAGTTGCTTTCCTTGTAGTTTGGGTTTGTTTTTTTTTTCTTTTTAATACATTAAATGTGGGTGTGATAAACTTTAAGTAGCTCATAAGAAATTTGCAGGAATTGGACATGCTAGTTTACATCTGTTTGACAGTGGTGGAATACTGCTGTCTTGGAACTGTCACCATCAGGTCTCCTTTTGTCAATGGTGGTGTTTAAGAGAAACGATAAACTCTTGGATGTTCTTTCTGTGGACTATGAACCCAGAATGTAAAGATGATGCAGCCAGAATAACAAGCAGTCAGGCATCTATGTGGGTGCTTTGAAGTGGGAAGGGGATATGTTAAACACGGTATTTCTAGAGCATGTTGCTATGTAGTAGTCATTTCATGCAAATAATCCTTGCTCAGTTCTTAAGGGCTTAAAAAAATAAGTAACTGGTTGTGTGTCTTCTCAGATTGGTCCAACCATTGCCCAACAAGTTACCAGCAGGATGGAGCGTGGACGTACTTCACACAGGTCACGTACTGCTCCCCCTGGGTTTCCTACATCGCTGCAGTAGCCTGTTTCCACACTGTTTGGGCCTCCTTGTGGCTCGCTGTTCAGCTTTATCAGGTACTGTTTCCCTTCAGTTTATGCTTAAAACTTTTCCCTGGGTGATTTGCTCCCATGAAAACCTTGTGTCTGCTTTCCTTTAACTGTTTTCAGTCACATCGAGGAGCTTCCCTTTAATCTCAGGGCAGTACTGAAATGCACCCTGTTAAAAGCAGGATCACAGTCTGCAGATCATTCCTATAACTGAGCTCTGGGTTTACTACTCATCAAAAATTCCAAACCTCTAGAAAGTATTTAAAGACGAGAAATGTATTTGACAAACAGAACCGGTATTAGTGCCCCAAAAATGACACAAATGCTCAATAGCACAATTAGTCCTGAGTTTAAGATTCAGTGGCAGAGCTGGGCAGTGTGTCATTAGACTGTATTAAATTCCACTTGCAACAATAAAAGCATATGACCTGGATTTTATCTTGTTGAGGACTGTCAAATTTCTTGTTCACGTTTTTCTCAGAGCTTGTCTGTGCAAACAAAACTGAGAAAAGCTGTCCTAAAACATCTGGGGAGACAGCTCGTTAGCAGCTTTTAGAAGAGATGTCACTGAAATGTGTGTTAAGCATACTGAGCTAAAGACTTGTCTTACATCTTGTTTAATAAAAAAACAAAAAAAACCACAAAAACCAAAACAACTCCACAACTGTAAAGGTGTACTGATATAGTACCAAGTACTACTCCTGTAGTACCAAGTCACTGAGACTTGTAAATGTACTTCTTTGTGATATTTACTGTGTTATTCAGTGAAGGACCCTTGCAGCTGTTTATGAGGGTTTGTAAGATTTGTGTTGATTAAAAAAATTTTAAAATGGAATTGGTAAGGAAAAATGCAGAAAAGAAACCCAAGTTCATTGCTGAAACTCAGTGAAAGAAAACAGAGAGTCAAGAAAAGGGAAAAGTTATTGTTGAAGCATTTTGGCCTTTTTTTCCGGGGATCTTTTTCTACCGTTTTGTGTGGTAGAATGTAGACAAACCCTGAGGAGATTGGTGCTTAACTGTGATAGATCTTAGACTTCTGCAAAAAAACTCCAATTAAACTTGCCTTGTCAGTGGGAGCATTCATGTTACAGCTTCCTGGCCTCTGTTTTAGCCCAGGTGACATCTAAAAACACACTTCTCAGCCATCACTCATAGCAGTAGTTACTCATTTGTTAGATATGGGCAACCTCCCTTCTCACTGGTATCTTTTTGCATCACCAGGATTTTGCTTTGTGCTGTTCACGTTGTAACTATTACTTACATTTTCCTTTCACTAAGATTGCATTCTTGGGGCTGACCTCTCATGAAAGAATGAACCTCCTGATGCAGAGAAAGTCATCTAAGCATCCTGTTTCACTCAGGAGAACTCCATACAAGTGGGTGTTGATTAACAGAGTATTTTGAGTGATTTGCTTCACTGCTTTATAAATGCAAAAAATATGATGTGCCAGTCATGCCTGTTAAGAGTTGTGCTAAGGGGAGGAAGTGGACCTTGTTTTCCTTACAGAGAACTTCCTTTTCTCTAGGAAATCAGCAACCAGCACAAGACCTGGGGGGTTTTTTGTGCATGGCTGCGTGCACAGGAAATAGCTGTGCCAAAATCAGTCCGTAGCACTAATCAGTAAATAATATTTTGGGGTGAGGGTGAGCTGTCCTTCAATTTGTTCATCAGTCTCTCTGTTGTGTAGGATCAGAAAGAGAATTAAGGCATGAACTGGCCCCTTTACAACTTCTCATGCAGTATTTAGAGAAATTGGTACCAAGGTTTCCCTGTTTCTTTGTTTCCGTGTTAACAGATGGGATCTTACTAAGGACTAACGTTTAAATATTTGAGTTCAACTTCATCTGCTCTGATATGTTAATGTAAAACAGGTTGTAAAAGTTCAGCAAAGGAATAATGCTCAATAGAGAACTGTTTAATTAAAAAAAAACTCAACTCCACAATTGTAAAACTGACAGGTTTATATCTGAAGTACTGTCATGTGGTGAATGTGCAGTTTTGATGTTTGCAGTCTTTTTTTTTTTTTAGGTTTATTAATGCATATTTTTCTCCTTTTCAGTCTTGGATGCTTCCAGAATCTTGCAGACTTCTTTCAGTGCAGTTGCTTTGGTATGTTCAAACCCAACATAATTGACTGGACCAAGCAGTACAATGTTTTTCATCTGGCAAAGGAGAAAAATGTTCATTCTGTGTAAAGTTTTGCTGAATTTCTGAAATGGTTGAGTTGAAATCTAAATAAAACTGGATATTTTGTTAATTTTTACAAATTCTTGTGTCTGCTACTCCGGAATTTTTTCTCATAGGAAACACACCCATTCCACAGGTTACACATCTGACCAAAATGCAGCAAGTGGCCTCCAATCCCACCAATTGCCTTCTTGCTGTCACCTCATCCTTAACCTGAGAAGGCAGGGGGAAGTCTACAGCTGTTGGAGCAGTTCCTGGGAATGCAATAAAACACCTTTTCTTTGGACTGCACAAGGGCAAGTGCTGAGGGCACCACGCAGCTCCTGCCCAAATCCTGTCCTGTCCCCAGTCATGTCAGGAACAGCTTTGGAAAACACACGTGCCCGGGCTGCAGCTCCCAAGGGATGCCGCAGGGATCCAAGGACAGGGGGGTTCTTCCCCGTGGGGGCCGCCGGCCCCTCCAGCTCCCCCCGCGGCCGCGCGGCCCCTGAGCCGCGGAGGCTCCGCTGGCCCCGCTGCCCCCGCGGCCGCTCCGCCACAGGGAACGGCCGGGCAGGATCCGGCAGCGCCGGGACACCGGCCACGGGCACCCGGGCACCGGCAGCAGCAGTACCGGCTCTCCACGGAAGCCCCGGGGTGAGGGATGAGGGATTCCCTCCGCCCGCCGCTCCCCCTCTCCCAGCCGGGGAGAGGTGGCGGCTCCCTGGGGGCGCACAGGGAAGCGATGCCGCCTGCCCTCCGAGTGTGGGACAGCACACCTGCCGGACTGCCCTCTCTCCAAAGAGCTTCCAGAGAGCAGTCCCCGCAAAGACCCAAAGCCCAGCATTCAGGGCTCTTGGAATGTCGCTGGGAAACACCTCGTTCAAGCGGACACTTCCCTGGGAACGATTCAGCCCCAGTACCGTGCTCCGTAAGAAGGGGAGAAAATCTGCACCCCTTTTTGGGTTGCCAAGCGCTCCAGCAGCAGCAGCAGGAGGCTGCCTTTGCCCATCCAGCCGCCCCGCGCTGTTCCGAGCTCAGCTCACCCCTCCAGAAGCCGCAGGACGGGTCATTCCTCGAGGAAGGGGAGTTCCCACGAGCCCCCGCACGGAACGGGCACGGAGCGCTCCACAGCGAGCCCCGCCAGCCCCGGGAGCCGAGCCGAGCCCCGACCGCCAGCGCAGCCCCCCAGCCCCTCCCGCCGGACCCCGCACAGCTCCGGGGACTGCCGGTCCCGCAGCGTCCTCCGGGAACAGCGGGAGCGAGCGGGGATGGGGAAAAGCGGGAGAAGATGGCGGGGGAGGGGGGCGGGGGGAGGGGGGCGGGGAGGGGGGCGGGGAAAACCCGACTGGATTTTTCCGGAGTACGGAATGGGGAAAACCTGGACTGGATTTTTCCCGAGTACGGAATGGGGGAAACCTGACTGGATTTTTCCCGGAGTACGGAATGGGGGAAAACCCGGACTGGATTTTTCCAAAGTACGGAATGGGGGAAAACCCGGACTGGACTTTTCCAAAGTACGGAATGGGGGAAAACCCGGACTGGATTTTTCCGGAGTACGGAATGGGGGAAAACCCGGACTGGATTTTTCCGGAGTACGGAATGGGGGAAAACCCGGACTGGATTTTTCCCGAGTACGGAATGGGGAAAACCCGGACTGGATTTTTCCCGGAGTACGGAATGGGGGAAAACCCGGACTGGATTTTTCCCGGAGTGCGGAATGGAGGGAAACCCGGACTGGTGCCACTAAAGCCGGCACCGCTCTGACCGAAAGTTTTCAAAAGCCATAGCCAAGATGGCGGCGGGAGTCCCTCCCCTCCTCCGCCTCAGAGAGGCATCTCTCCTATAGCCTGACCTCCCCTCCGCCCCGACCCGCACCCCGCACTCGCAGCCCGTCTCGCCGCGGTGCTTCCCGCCGTGGGGACGGGGTGGGGCGCTCGGCGGCTCGGGGGCGGTGGCAGCACCGCCGCGGGCAGCTCCGGGCGGGGACTCCGCTCCCGTCCCGCCCCGCTCCGCCGCGCTCGGTCCCGCCGTGCCCCGGAGATGCTGTCGGGGCTGCGCCGCCGGGATCTCCCCCGGGAGCCGCACACGGCGGCAGACACAACTTCAGGCTCTCCAGGAGATCGTCCCCGGCGGGGGAGCGGGGCCCGGCGGGGCGCCCGTGGGGTGGGGTGAGTCAGAGGGACACGTTTCCCCTCTCCTGCCTGTTGGCGTTTGCTCCCTGGGCAGCGGCTCTTTTCCCCACTGCGGGCTGGTCCTTGCCGTGTGTGCTGGGAAGGGTGGAGAGGCAGGGGCGGAGGGCCGGGTGCCGCTGGGGTCCCAGAGCTGTGGGGTCGGGCTGTGCCGAGAGGGGCGGGCGGGTGCCCGTGGGGGAGCCTGAGCATTGGTTTGGGGGTTCAGGAGCCCGGGCGGTGTTTGCAGCTCTGCCAGGGGCTGGAGCTGGGCTTGTTATAGGTTACCAGCAATGCCTTAAAGGAATTGAAGAAGCCAATTTACAATAGCAAGCAAATTTATTAATAAGCGGTAGATAAACAATCGGCGCGCCGGGAGGGGGAGGGGCTGTTTAGAACAAAACAAAGTTCTCTCACAGCTCGCCGCCGCCCCCCCAAGCTCTCAATCGTTCCCTTTTGAACCCTCCGGGTTCCCGTCCAGACATGCTCAGTACATAGGTTCTGATCCATACATAGTCCGGGGCATGTGCTTTTTGCACATGCTCAGCTGCAAAGTTTTTCCCATGCATGTTCCTGGGCTGTGTTACCGGCGTCCGTGGTCTGGGGGTTTCTCTGTGGGCCGGGGTCTCTGTGATGAAGATTTTTTTGTCTTCCTCGATGTCCGCAGGATGAACCCGGCTTGGAGCATGCGCCTTTAGTAGGTATTTTTCCTCCCCTTCCAGTCTTATCGTCTATATAAATCACTTTGGCTCCTTGTTTAGAGGAAGCTTCTCGGTGTCCCCAGCTGGTGTAGTTTAATTACAGTGCCAGACTTCCCTCCCCGCCTTCCTTATCAGCCTCGGGAACAAACGGCAGCTTGTTAGAAGCAGTTAACAGCTATGTGGGAAATACACACGGAAATCACATATCCCTAATCACATATTCCGGGGAGCTCGGAATGCCAGGGGCTGATGGAAGCATCGCCCTCGGCGTGTTTAGTTTGTGTCTGTGGGAGCTGGGATTCGGGCTGCAGAGCTGTTGTTGGGAACAAAGGGTGGAGCAAACCTGTTCCATGGGTGTGTAAGGAAGGACGGAGTAGCAAAGGAAGGGGAGTATTTCCACACGATATCAATATTCCCCCCCCCCGGGTGTGGGATGGAGCAGTGATGGGGGGCTGGATGGGGTGGCCTGGGCTGGTCAGGATCAGCCATAAACAACCCACCAGACCCCTGAACCCTGCAGAGGCAGTTTGCCCAGGGGCCCAGAATTGTCTGTGGAGCAGAGAGTGCTGAGAGCTCCCTGTGCCTGTCCCCGGCCTGGCACTGTCCACAGGGACACACTGGGCAAAGACCATTGCAGGGAACAAAACCCCTTCCTGCCAGAGGGTTTGTCCTGTGCAAATCAGTCCAGGGGCAGCAGTTGGACTTAGGCCATCCATCAGCTGCTCTTCCCCCAGAAAGCACCATCCCGGTGGGCATTAATGACCTGCCCTGTGCCCACCGCTCACTGTGCACCCAACTGAAACCAGAGCAAGTCTTGCTTTGCTTGGAAGAGCTTGAAATGACTTTAAAAAAAAATAAATTACCTCTTATTTTTTTTCTTTTAGATGATGGAGTTGCCTCTCCGGATGTGTGCTGAGCTCTGGCTTCAGGGGACTGTCAGGCCTTGGTGGCGGTGCATTCATGTTCTTCTCACTGGGAAACTGGAAATAGTTATTAATGACATTGCAGAAATGTTTTCTGAAACCTGTCCCCTTCTTTCTGCCTTTTGCTGATAGATCTTCTCCTTCTGCCTTTGAATTTACAGCCTCCTTGCAGCTCCCAACTGGCAAAACCTGGGGTGACTCAGTGGGGACAGAGGTGACATTTTTATCTGAAAACTTGGGGTAATCTCTAGGGGATACAGCAGTTGTTTTGGTAGGAGAGTGTGTTTAACCCCATTGGCCCAAGGCAATCCAAAGCAAGCCCTGCTTGGCCTCTAAATCCCAGGGTAAGTTCTCCAAAGCAGCTCCTTGAGGACTAAAGATACATTAAAATGGAACTAAGAGCGCTAAGAAGGTTCCTGTGAATCCCAGTATTGCTGTCCTACAATTTTGAACAGGTTTTGAAGCTGTTAATGGCAATAGTGGCTTTCTTCCTTTGGATGAGTCCCTCGATAGGATTTGGGATTTCTTTGGGTTTTGAGTCCCTCCCAGTGGCTCTGACACCGATCAGGAGCTGGCAGGACAAACAGACTGAGAACTCCTGGCAGGCACAGGGGTTTTCCCCCAGAGTTGGCTCCAAGTGCTTTCAAAACCACGTTGGTACCCTCTGCTTTATCCTTGCAGATAGTAGAAGACAATTACATTTGAAATCTAAGGTGAATGTTCATATTCAAAAACTTAATGTTATGGTTACATTGTAATCTTGTTTCTTATGCTGTGAAAACCTCCAATGAGTCTTTGTATTTGAAAGGTTTACATGTAATAAAATAGAGCTTTCATACTCCTAAGTGTATTTTTGCACACTGAAATAAGTTCAAGGGACATGTGACCAGTGAGGTTTTGAAGAGCAGGTAGGCACAAAACCATAAGAGAAAGCCTGACTCTGCCTGATGTTTAGTTTTATTAAGTAATCATTTTTTTCTTTTTTTACTTTATTTATTCATATGCCTCGTGAGTGTATGAAAATGGGTAAGTTCATGATGGAAAAATAGCACTGTATATAAAAAGAGGGAATTATTCCCAGCTGCATGCATGGATCTTTAATGGCTGATGTCAGCCAAGAAAAGGATACAGTGTCAGTCTGGGAGGGCCACTGGGACACTGTGTGTGAATGTAAGTCAAAGTTGGTAGCAATGAAAACCCACAGGGAAAGAGATCAAGGTCAGAAAATTAAAGTTAAATACCATCTAGACAACATAAGAGTCAAGTAGTGCAATGAAATTCAATTCTTGTAGTTAAGAAATGGGGGATTTGGTTCATCTCGAAATCTGCAACACTGTAGAATGGAAAAGCACAAGCAAATTCAAATAACAATAATGTGAAGCAGTCAGTACTTTATTGTAGCTTGAAAACAGACAGTAACAAAACTTACAGTGCTGCATTCTAGGAAAGCTTTGTTTTTCTTTGGAAATACCTCCCCTTGGTAGAAAGAATTTCAAACCCTTTTTAATTGTCTCAAGGTGAATAACCTCTGCCTCTAACCTACAACACAGAAGGCCAACATGTTCAAAACACACCTAGGAGATTGGTAGGAACAGAGTAACACTGTGAACAGAGGAAAATACAATAATAATAAAATAGCTGGGACCCTCAGACCCTGCACTCCATAAGGTACCTCTATGGGACACTGAGCTGAGTCTAAAACTCCAGTCTAAAATGTGCTAAATACTAGTTTAAGAAGCAATAATATTACACAAGGGTTTTTTGTCTTTGTTTACTATAAAACTTTTATCGCTGCACCTTTGTAACCTAATCTACGAATTTCTTAAGATATAAGCTCACAAATTCTTCCTGCAAGGTGGAAAATCTTGCCCCAAATGCCCTATGTTCTTAGCAATATGTGATGTTTAATGTTTTACTTGAGCAGCTCTCACTTGGTGGCATCAACATCAGTTTGGGACTGCTGCATCCATTTCTTCTCATTCACATTCTTTCTTTTCCACTTGAGTGAGGCCACCAAACCCAATTCCTTTGGGACCGAAATTTTTTGCATAGCAAACTGCAAAAGAAGGAGGTGGGGGGCAGAAAGATGAATGTTTGTGAATTCTGAATGTTCTCAGGTAGGGGTAAATGTCTTTTTGGTTTTAGTTTTTAGATCACTACCAAATTTGAGTCAATAACAGGAAGGAGATCTGAAATAGCCTATTTCCCACGAGTGTTGGCAGGTTTTAATAGTGAAACTAAAATCACGTTTGAATTACACCAAAGTCTCATCTGGTGATCTCAAAAAAAAAATTAAGAAACTACACATTTAAGAGCTAAGTAATATTTTCATTAAAGCTACTTTCCTATCTGAAAATACTTGGTAAAACTTGGTCTGGTGACTAATACAGGCTGAGTAAGTGAGTCAGAGATTTTCTAGGAGGTGAAAGAACTGGAGCACAGATCTGAAACTATTGATGAGCATTTAAACCATTCCAGTTGAACTGTGTGTTGGTCAGTTTGTGCATAGTTTTTTGTCACAGCTCTGCTAAGGAAGTAACAGTAATGATCAGCATGTTTCTCCAAATGTGGTGATTTGCTCACTCGTGGCTGACAGATTGTACCCAAAGTCACAGAACTTCAGTGTTCTTCTTTAGGGCTCTCTATGAAGTTTAGCCTGGGGTATAAAACCTTGGCATATTTTTCCCCCTCAGGCTGTTTCTGAGAGTCAAGTGAAGTCTGTGAACTTTTTGGATCTGAAAACATCTAAGATATGTCATTTAGTATCAATGCATTATCTTCTGTGCTACCAATACAGTGGAAGTATCTTTAACTGGCAAGAATTCCAGATGACCTCTGAAGATCTGTATCTACGTGGATTTTTTATTTTACTGAGTGAGATGAGGTGCAGGTGAACAAGAGCCTGCCCAGCAGATATGGCCAATGTTCTGTTAGAAGATCTGAGGGTAGATCTGAGGGATATTTGTAGGAAAAAATCACACCTTTAAACTTTAAATGTCGATAGCATAAGCTGCAATTGCAACGTCACCACGGCTCTTTGCTTTGCTTTCAGAAAGTTGTTAAAAAAAAAAGGCAAAATGAAATTTCCTGAAGTTGTTAAGCATGGGACAAGGTAAGTCATGATGGCTTTCCTAGGTCTGAGGGGACTAATTTTAGCTCTACAACTCTCACCTTTACAGTAGAGCTCTCCGTCTTTGTCCGTAACGTTCGTGGATTCCAAACTCTTGCCACAAATCGCGCAGCGGAAACACGTCTTGTGCCAAGGCTGAGGAGATGAAGACAATTCATTGTGCATCACAGAAAGGGCACAGGTGCAAGAAGCGAAGAACTGCCGCTTTTTGCGGTGTGAAAAGGTTAAAATCTTTCTGCTGATCTCGTGGCTTCCGCTCTTAGTCACCCCAGGTTAGTCTTTTTTTTCAGTTACGTCAAGAGTCACCGAGTGACTTTGTTAGTGGTGCACACTTGTTAATGGAGGTCTAGTAAAAAGCAGGGAGCTGGAGATACTGCTCTCATTTTGGCCACTTCTTCAGTGTGCAGAGATCACATTCTATGAGAGTTCCTCGAGGAGAGAGCTTTGCATGTCATTTGGGAAAGGCTTCTGCTTTTCTGGTTACAGGATCTCTTTAATGTATCTGTAATTGCCACTGCAAATAAATGTTTTTAAACATCCCCCAGAGGTGGAGGAAGAGCCAGGCTTTACAGCAGCCAGGGGTTGTTCTTCAGACATCAAAAAGAAGGGAAAAGTTGAAGAAAATTTACAAAAAGCACATGATTTCAAGACCTGAAAGTACATCCCACTCGAGCAATTTGCTACCTCGTATTTTCTTCATCGAGACTATGAGTGGAAATTTAAATGATCAAGGACCTATTAGCTACAATTTATCACCCTTATAAAACTGTGTTTGGGTTCTAGTGCTGAAGTAACTACTTACTTTTCCTCCTCCCATGATCTTCTCTGCAGCATACACTGACTTGCCACAACGGGGACATTTATCCACATCTACCATCTTTTTGGCAAACTTGGAAGCGTTAGTTGGTGTAGAAGGGCGAGCAGGCTTTGGTGACCCCCTAAAACACAAGGTTTCAGCGCTTTTTAAATGCTGCTTCAAGTGTTACCTTCCTTAGAAAAAGTATTTCATGGGTTTTTTGGTAAGGGGTGAAAAATACTAAATTGCTGTTCTCAGACGTGCAAACTGGGGATAAAAAGGGAGAAAATCAAAGTACTCTAGTGACTTCTGTGTTGTGTGATGGAAAAGCTGGTACTGTAGGCCCTGATGTTACCTGTTCTGGGCTGAGTACATGGAGCTGACAGCAGCCACATGCAGAAAGGATTGCATTTAATGAAAAGTGAGAGTAAAAAAACAGTGTTGTTTTATGGAGAGGCAAGGAGGAAAATACAAGCAGAAGACCACTCTTCCTTTGTAACTGGCTGTCTGCTCTTACTCAGTGAGTGGAAAATAAAAATAAAAAATACAGATTTTTTGCATGCAGATGTTTCATTAGGCAGTGAAACATTTGGACAAGGGAATTGGGGTTTTTACCTGGCCCAGGGTCAAAAGCAACATCAGAGGAGTAGCTTTGCTTTGTGTTTCTGGCCGTTGTGCGTTATGGATTTGTGCTTAAAGCCTTTCACAGAACGATTTCTGAATGACTGGATTGTTGGACTGCAACAGGTCATTATATCTACAGGATGTGACAGTTTTTGATGCAGAACTCTGCCCACAATGGCTTCATATGGCACAAGGAGCCACATTTGAATACATTGTTTAAGCTTTTATTCCCCACACAGCATACTGGTTAATTGGTTTCCTCGTAGTTATACCAGAAGGAAGCGTTGCTGATTTGGAAATGTGCAGCTTTGAGAATTGTAAAAAAAAAAAAAAAAAAAAAATCCTGTAAAAACGTACTGTCAGAGCTAATTATGTGCTTTTGGAAGATGGTATCCCATTAGAATTCCTTTGTTCAAACACATCCTCAGTGTGTTTGTAAGTGTTATTCAAGCCACAGGGAGGATTTAGAAATGTTATTTCCCCCACTGAGAGGAGAGCTAGCAGTATGTGGTAGTGTGATTATTTCTCTTAAGAGTAAAACCTAACTGGATTTTAGCCTCTGATAGCAAAAAAAAAATTAAAAAAAAAAAAATATATTCTCATTTTCTATAGTGAATGTGACTTTACCACTGTGCTACAAATGGCAGCATACAATTGCAGTGGATATTTACAGCTGTGGTGGCATATAAAGGCTGCTTCTGCACGATAATTGCCTATTGAAGGAGAAAATAATTTGTGAAGAAGGCTTAGAGAGACTGAGCATCATTAAAAACGGGTAAATTACCGTGCCCCTGGAAGGAAAGGGTGCAGGAAAGCCTGCTCTGCTACTAACGCTGGGTGTTGTTATGGAGACAGAATAAAACATCTAAAACACCCTGCTAAGAGGCAAAGTAGGGCCAGACAAAGGTGCTGTCGGTGGGGTTTAACTCACTGCTGCAGGTTCAGGCCCAGGTGGTCTCCGGTGTCGGTGCTGAGGCATCCGGCCCCTTGCCCAAAGCCGACGCCTTTGGGACCGTATTTCCTCCCGTAGCAGGTCTTGCAGTAGATTTCGGATTCGTGAGCTGCCACTGTGGTGCTGTCCAGAGCTTTCCTGCAGGCCACTGGGTACAGGCAGAGAGAGGCACCTGTCAACACCTGTGTTTTCGGATTCGAATTCACCTAGTTCAGAGTAGTTACATTTAGTGGGTTTTACCTTTAAAAATACGGGACAAGGAGCTGGTCGGTGTGAAACTTGACTGGGCTGTTGCTAAAATTGGGTGTGTGCACACAACAGGCTCCTGTTTTGCCTCTCTGAAGTTATGGTGTAACCCCAGGGAAACCGTGGGCTTGGCAAGGCAATTTGTCTAGGTCTGTGAAGTTAAGATGGATTCGAGATAACCATCCTAAACTCCTTAAAAAAGGGGGGGGGAAGGAGGTTGCAGGGGCATTGATTCCACTGTGCATCTGGACCTTTCAGAATGTTCTCTCATGAGTCTGTGGTGGCTTTCTCAGCTCAGCCCAGGCTATTTTGATGAGGTTTGTTTCTAAAAGAGGCTTTAACATCATACCATGTCCAGAGACAGGTAGAATATGTTGTTGGGTTGTTTTTGTTTGGTTTTTTTTTTTGGGGGGGGAGGAGGTGGTGTGGTGGTTTTTGTTTGGTTTTTTGTTTGAGTTTGTTTGTTTGTTTGTTTGTTGGGGGGGTTGTTTTGATTTTTTGCTATTATTTGTTTGTTTGAGCTGTGGCACCAAGGCAGAGCAAATAAATCTCAGCTCCGTGTGACTTCCTCTGGGATGACAGGAGTATGACTAAAGCCATGCCCAAAACAGAGACCTCTTACAAGTGGTGTTTGTGACGGAGAAACACTGCTTGGCTTAGCTCGCTAGGAAAGGTCTGGGAGACTTTTGGACAGAAGATGCCATAGGAATGCCCAGCTTTCACCAGGGAATACAAGTTATGTCCTCTGCAGCACTACTTTAAGCCAAGCCTCAGCTTGGAAGGATTAGACTCTACTGACAGCTGCTTATTTGGGGGCCTTGGTTAAGTGAGAATCTATGCTTTGAGCAAGTACAAGTCCTGCAGAGGGCGTTCCAGTCATGCATGAGCTGCGGGTGGCTTGGAAAATCGAGTTTCTTAGTTCCTGTATGCACCAGAAAGCTGTGAAATACAGAAGTATTGACAGTGGCTGGAAGTGCGAGCTCTAGAGGAGCCAACTGAGGGTTTGATCTGTCCCTGGCCCCTGTGTTTATTTTAAATATCCTCCTGTGAGTCCAGTTCATCCACCTCAGGTAATTTAAGCCAATACTGGAATCTCTGTGGCTTTAATTATAGAATCCTGGAATGATTTGGGTTGGAAGGCACTTTAAAAATCATCCAGTTCCAACCCCCTGCCATGGACAGGGAGACCTTCTGCTAGACCAGACTGCATAAAATACTACTCATGTGTCCCCAGCCCTCTGCTTATCTTTGGCTTTCCTCCTCCCTGTACTGCACAGAGGGGAAAATGTTTTGCAAAGACCTTTATAGTTAACAGAGATAAAATGAAGGGCTTCTGTAAATGTGTGAATCTGATCCCCTCGTGCTCCAGTCTCCTCTGCTCGGAGATGGTAATTATGTTTGCTAAGGGAGTTAAGGGATGATGGAAACTCTAGCAGCAGATAAAGTGTTTCTATTTCTGGTACCTCAGGGATAGGGTATCAATTCACCACAACAGATGGAGCAGAAGCCCTTGAAGTGCTATTGTTGAAATAACTTTGAGACCTCTCATCTGCCAGCAGATCCTGGTCACCCTCCGGCACCGAGGAGGCTCGGGTTGACAGTGGGAGATCCTGCCAAATTGTCCCTCACAGCTGCAGCTTGAGCAAAACCTGACAGGGAAGCAACAATCTGCAGGTAAACAGCAGCACGGGAAGTAGGGACTGCTGGAAAGAGGTTTCTCTCTCATAACGTTTGTAGGGAAAAACTGTGGAGCAGAGAGAGTGGGATTTAGAGTTTAGCTTGTCTGATTCTTCCTGTGTCAACAGATTGCTTTGAATTGTTTATAATTTTGCTGAAATTGAACTCTTTGGTTGAAAACTACTGCTCTGCTTTGTCTGATTTGTCAAATATTATGTAAAATATAGGACATATTTGCAATATTTTTAATATTGAAATATAGAAAAGCTCAGCTAAACGGGTTAACTCTTTCCATACCTTGAGATTACGTTGGGGAGGATTGGTTTCCTTCTGCTGAGAAATGAAATCCTATAATTGGTTCATAGAAAAGCCCTTGAATGTGATACATGATCCTGAGGCATCTGGAGCTGCTGAACGGTGTGTGTGAATCATGGTAAAAGTAAAGCCAATTAACATACCTCTCCTATGCCAACTGGGCTTAGATGCATCTTTACTTTTTGACCTTAAACATATTTCTGATGGGAATACTTTTTTTAGTATCTAACCTACCAGTGATTTAGCTCAGACTTACAATCACAAGGGAAAGATAAAGCAGAATAAAATATACACAAGAAAATACACAACCATCTAACCAACCAAAAAAACCACCAAAACAAACCAAACTGTTGTCAGAATGTGATGTATGTATATTGTTTATCATGAATCACCAAAAAAAAAATCAGTTATACTAAGAATGAAATTAAACTTGAGAAATATTGTTAACTATGTTCTATTAGGACAGATGCTTATTTTCATTAGTTTCTCTGATTTTTAATATTAATTATTATAAGCTGCACATGGAAGCAATAAGAAGGCACCAGTTGAGACTGAGATTTTTTTTTTCTTTTACCATTCTGTAAGAATTGGCTGAAGGTTGTCAGATAGCTGAAAAGCTTTTGAAGGAATTCTTTCTTATTCTGCCTTTTAGGCATCACTTGCAGGGCACTTGAAGAAAGCCTCCAGTGTGTCCTTTGAAACTTGTTCTGCATTGACTGCACCACGTCAGCTAAGTGTGTAATAGCCTCGTGCCTCCAAATAAGAAGTTTCTTTCCATCCAGGAAAAGAGGGTGAGAAATTGGATTCAGATGGAATTTATACTGCAAAGGTACTAAATCTCAAGCATTGTCTGCAAAATAAACTCTTCATCTACTTTTACTTCTTAGCAAATTGTTTGCTCTCTCTCCACAAAGGGCAAGCAGAGCTGAATTGATACCTTCTCTCTGATTTTTTTTGTTTCTTTAAGTGCTAGCTCTTCTGCAGAGAAAGCAAGATTTCTGGAAGCCACCTGCCAAACATCACAGTGGAGTGTGGGAGGGAAAGAGCAAATGAAAGGGAAATATGGGGAGGAGGAGACTAAGGTAAGTGCAGAGTGTTGCAAGGTTTTGGTGCCACCAGGATGATGTCTTGCAGCTTTTCTGTGTGAAATGGATTAATGTTAGGGCTCACTGTCAAAGTAATCATCTCCTCTAACAGCCTAATAACACATCCTTCTGTCTGATGAGTGTTTGTTTAGTTCTGCTGGACTTTTTAACTTGAAGCAAACCTGTAGTATGCCAAGTTGTGGGAGAGAGGGGAAGGGTTTTTTGGAGATGAGCCCTAATACCATGACCCTGCAGCACTCGAGTGTCCCTAACAAAAACCAGCTAATGCTTGGAAAGAGAAAAGCCAGGAGCCCAAGATGCAGATTGCTTGGGGTAAAGGGCTAAAAAACTGCCTGCACAGTAATATAAAAGCAAATGTGCTAGAATTGATGGAAGGTTTTATACAGAGCTATGGGGATGTTGTGAAGTTGAACCAGGGCAGCCCAGCTTACTGCAGAGGAAGCAGGACTTGTGGAAGCTCCTTCCATTGCACTGGATTTCCTCAGCGTGGTACACGGTCTTCTCGCAGGCACCGCATTTGGCTCCGCCCCCCCAGTTCGGCATCCCTGTCTCTGAGAGGGAACCTGGAAAATCAGATTGCAAAGTGAATTATTTTAAGCAGAACAGCTCGATTTAAAAAAAAAAAAAAAAAAAAAAAGGTATTGTATTTTTCCCCCTCTCCAGTCAACTGCTCTTGCATACTTGCAATGTATTTTCCATCAAATAGTCATCTTCTTTCAGTCCTGCCCTCCTCTGTACCCCAGTGTGGCCTTTTCCCCCTCAGTTTTTGCTTAGTGTGGGTTGATCTGGTTTTTGAGGCAAATTTTTATGAAGCTTTACTGGAGTTGAAGCAAAAGTGTGGACAGTATCTGGCATTAAATTTTCTACAGAACAGTTTCCTACCTCGACTCTCTGTTAACAGGTAGACTGTTTATACCTCTCCAAAGCAAGTGCTGCTTCATCCACTGCCCCATGAGCTGCCTTGGTCACGTGTTTTTTTGCCAGCATGATATTTTTTTATACAGTTCATACCTGGGTAATTCCACCTTGAAGTTTTAACAAGGGCACTTCGAAGAGGGCACATCAACAGAAACAAGCTGTTTGTTGCTTCCCTGAATTCCTCACGAGGCAGCTGCAAGGTCCCTGTGCTGCTCAGCCGTTGTGAGGTTATAATAGTCAGGTTCCTAAGGCGCTTAAGGTGGGTTTTTTTTCTCTCTTTGTCAATTGTTTTTGAACTCTAAACATAAGGGAAAAGAAGAGCAGCAGTTGCTGTTGCGGTGTCTGTTGAAGTGACTTGGCCAAGGTCACGGGAGGGCAGTGTGAGGGGCAGGAGCCCAGCTCAGGTGGCCTGGTGGCTCAGTGCCCTTCCTGATGATTGTGCTATCACACATCAGAAGCAAGCCCAGCCCTCAGGCTGCCCTTCTGTTTTCTTGTTTGAGTCATCGTTTCTGGAAAGGCTGGGACGTCATCTTGTCACCTGCACATCATATTATCAGGTTGTTCCAAGCTCCTGGCACGGACCTTCCTTCTCCTTCTTGGAAAACCACTCACCTTCTTATTATAGTTATTTTGAAGCCTGCTTGTGCTATTTGTGTTTGATTAAATTCACCATAAGGTACTTTCAACTAAGAAGAGGGTTTTGAAGGCTGAATCGAGACTGCCACCTGAGGATTTTCTTCTGAGGTCAAGTGAGAGATAAAGGAGAGTTTGCAGTGATCTGAATCACAGTAGTGATGTAACATAAGCCAGTATTTTCAATTACTTGCATTTTAGACTAATATTTTACTATATATTCACACTGGACACTAATGTCTCCTGCTTATCATCATCTTAGTGACTTCTGTTCTGTAATCTTCTGAATTTCAGAGTGAAACGAACAGTGTCTGTGTGCCAGCTCTGCAACCCAGAGGGAATTCTTTCTGGGCACGCATACACCAAAAATCCCACAATGGTGTAAGAGACACATCTGTCCAGCTAAAGGAAGGTGGCATGGCAGTGTGTGCACACACTGAAGCCCCAGCACCGGAGACATGGCAATGTGAGCAGGTTGTGCAGTCAAGTGTTTGATAACAGTGCAGGTACCAGCACATCCGAGCCTCTCTGCCTTAGCACAGCAGTGATTAGTATCTCCTTAACCCTGCGTAATTAAATAGTCTCTGTTGTGACTGGTACCTGTGGGTAGACAGCACACCTGTCATCCTCATGCAGGATCCAATCTCCCCTCCTCTTTGTGAGGCTGATTTATGCTCAGCTGAACACCCTCCCCAGCTCAGTCAGCCCAGTCCTTTGCTGTCACACAGCAGCACCATCATTAATCTCTTCCAGACCCTCTCAGCTCTCCTGGGAGGCTGCTCATGAACTGCCGTGGCAGTTCCAAAACAATAATGATGCAAAAAGGAAAAGAAAACTCAGCTTTCCTCTAATTCTGTTTATCTGTAGTGTAACGAGTAAGAAGCATAAACCTGATGTAGCTGGAATAAGAAACAAACCTAACTGCATGCAAGAAACATATAGTGGATTTGATCCCTCTCCCTCAGTGAAGCCTTTACTGAACAGCACTGCTAAATTCTTTTTTCATTTCTTTTAAATGCACAGAGAGAAATCTTTCATGTAGGTAGAATCTTATTCTCATTCTACCATTCTGTATTTTTTAAGTACTTTCATATTGCTGCCATTTTCTCTTATGAAAATAGTTCAAGTGATGCTTCAAACATTTTTAAAAGAAGGAAGAGAGACTGGGGGTAAAAATCAGTTTTGTGACACTTTCCTGAAAATTAAAATGAGATTTTTGTGTTGGTGGTGTTCCCTTTCAAATCAGGTTTCCAGTGGAATCCCTTCCCAGCTGAGGCAGCGCTGGCAGCTGCCAGGGAGGTTTGTACCTCTGGTCTCTGTAAAGCTGTTTGTGCTGTGTTAGTTCCCCTCAAAGGCGCACCAAGCAACTTTGTCTTTTGCTGTTGGAAAGCAGCTCCAATTACATCATTAGCTGAAGGGGGAAAATAATCTCTGAAAAAGTCTGATAACGCGTGATAGTGAACCTTGTGCTGTCAGGGGCCATGGTTGGAGCTCTTAGAAGAACCATTGTCCCTGAGGATAATTATAGTAACATGACTGGGCATGCATACACATTTTCCATGTTTTCTTGGCATCACCTGATGGGAAGCTGGAGGAGGAAGGAGAAAGTCACAGTAAAACTATTCCCATAAGGATGCCGGGGTAGGAAGAGCAGTGTATGCCACGAGGTCTGCTCTGGCTGGAGGAACAGCTGGGTGAGGTACCAGGGCAGGTCCTGTCCTTGCTTTGATCATCTCTCTGGACACTGAACTGCAGTGCCACCCCTGTGGATGCTGCCTGTGCAAATAAACCCCACAGGGTACATGGCATTCATAGTTTTCTGCTCATCTAAACTGTAACAGTGGATAAATCTCCATCCTCACAATGTGCAAATGGAACTCGGTCTCCCACTTGTCATCAGAAAAAAAATATACCCAAAAATCTTCATTTCACATAATTTCTTTGGATGTCAGTATCTAAATCCCCTTGAAATTCCCTGAACTTAGTTGTCTTAATCTTAATCTTAGTGTCTGCTGACCACACGGTGCTTGTTATATTCTGTTATATTCTTGTGATATTCTAGTGGGAAGTAGAGTGGACTCATCCTAAACGTAGTAAATGTGTTTATTTATTATTAAATAAACTTTTAAGTGTTAGTACTGCAACTCATGGTACTGTTAAGCTGGAGGAGTGTTCTTGTACTCACTCTGTTGCTGTTCTGCAGCTTGTATCATTCCTCAACATGCAGTTACTATAGGGAGTAGAATTTACATTGTGCAGCCAGGGATACATGCCTCCCGTTATTTAGAGCTTATATCACTACTATATAGGCCAGGCTTGGAGCAAGGGAGCCTTTGAAGTGCTTGTGTGCTCTGCACAGGCATGGAAACATTGTGAGCCGTCTTCTTTTGGGCTGTTAGTCATACTGTACCAATCTGGGTGTCACATCGCTGCCACGGAGTGCCTTACTCTAATCAAAGTGCTATTGATAAGAGTATAACCCAAAAATATATTTAGGTCCCCTGATCTCAATGGGTGGTGGATGCAGTGCTGGCCTGATGCAGTTGTGTAGAGGAGTAAAAGGCAGTGCTAGTGCCAGGCTGTGCTGCAGGTGAAAAAAGGTGTTGAAAGTAGCTTTTTGGTGCTTCTGTTCTAAACACAAGGCTTTCCTTTCTACATGCTGGTGTATTGGACAGTCTGGAGCTCAGGCCTTATCTGAATGGGCTGCAGAAGTTGTGTGTTGTGTGGCTGGGAGGATTATCTCGGGTGCCACATGTGCTACAGGATGGCTTTGGAGGGGATAAACAGAATGGGAAATGTTGGTCTTTGTGAGCACTTGGTAGTGGAATTGCTGGATGGGGACTGATGGGTAGGGTGTGCCTTCCATCTGTCTCTTCATTCTAGTCCCAGCTACATGGTTTGTCTGGACTCAAAGAATACCAGTGCCTTACCTAATGAACAAGCAGTAATGGTATCAAACCCAAATATCCCTGCCCACACTGAAACTCAAGTATCAAGGCTGCATTTGAAATTCTTTTCCCCTCTGAAGTCCGTGGGAGATGCCAATGCAGCCAGGACTTCACTCTGGTATCTAATCACAGCTCTGCTGTGACCTGTCCTGTGACCACCAGTGACTCATTTGACCGTCCTGGGTGTAACTCGCCCCACCAGCCCCGTGGGGGTAATAATATATCTCTTCCTTTATACAGTAGCAATAAAATGCTGCTCTAGTTTCTCTCTATGTTATTGTTTATACTCATATTTTTTCTCATTCATCCAGTGGACTTTGGATACAGGTGAATTTTAAGTTTATTAGTTATAGTGTCATACCTTCCAAGTTATCAGTTATTTTCTAGCATAGGGATGCCACGTTTCTTTTGAAACTTCCTTGACGCACACTTTTGCAGAAATTTAAGTTTGCATCTCCAAAAAATACGGTGTCCTGACAAGGCACTTCATTCATCCTACAGGTAGGGCAAGGTGCTTCGTTCTGACTTAAAAACCAGTGACACCCCACACTCACATATTTGTAAATACGTGCTCGGAGTTCAGTTTGATCCATGTGGCTGTGGAAAGCTGCATCCTGCTGTACAAATGTGTCCCATTCCTTTTTCCAGACCTAATCCTGGGCTATCAGCTTTCACTTTTCCTTTCACAAGATCCTTCTCTAAATCCTTTTCTGTGCACTAAAGTCTTTTAAGTGCCAAGTAAAGCTATTACCTCCTTTGAAATAGCACCGTGATGATTAAGACACAGAATTATTTTATCTACATACAAGGCTTATTCTTTGAAAAGCTTTCTACCTAAGGGTAAAATTATTTCAGAGTAAAACCATGTATTTATTTATTTAAATTACTGGGGCTTTTCTGAAGACTTGACCAATCCCACTCTCTTGTAATGCTTAAGTGATGGATGTGGGAATAATTCTGTCATCCTGCATCCAATTGCCTAGCCATTTTCTGCTAAGTCTGCATAGAAGTTCTATTCCTATTTGATATAAAGCCAATTGGTCACTAACATTAAATATTTTGAAGGTTGAAGGTGGCTGTTTTGGTTTTTTTACTTCTGCATTACCATTAACTGAGAAATCGTGAAAGCACCCAAATTTGTATACTTTGTACATATGCTTTTTAAAACCCAATCCTTTTTAGAACAAGTAATTCAGTAGCTTTTAAAACACAATTTTTAAGCACTCCGAAACTTCAGTAACCCAGCCTTTCCTAGTCAAAATGAGCGTCTCTAATGAGGATCCCCACAACTCTGTTCTTGCAACACCAGTAGCTACTCCCCAGGCTGAGAAGCCCAGAAGAATCTCTTATCAGCTGGCTGCTCCAAAACTAAAATACTGCTCTCAGCTCTGTAGGAATCATGTTTCTGTACCATCCAGGCACGTTTTTCTTTGTTAAGAAACCACCTGTTCGGAAAAAAATTGCCCAAACCCTCGTATCAGACAGTCTTGGCAGAACCCGCCGGACTCAACTCACCAGAGTTGCTTGAAGTGTCTCCCTCTCTCCTTGGGCCTCCAAGGGTTGGAACAGGAGGGGTCCCTGCCCTCCTTAAATGCCCTGTCAGCCCTATAAGCTGGGAGGGGAGGGGAATGAGAGTTTCAGGGATCTGAGCAATGCCATTGCTATCACCAAGCTGAAAATAACCTCTGACAAAAGCCTGGCATTTTGTTCCCCCCGCCCCCCCTGTGTCCACTTGTGAGTAGGTGGACAACAATGCAGCCCCTTGGATTACACCTAAAGGACATTCCTGACTGCAGCCTAACAGATCAGAAATAAAGATTGAAGTTGTATAGTTACTCTCCTGCATTGCTTAAATGTGAATCATGAAATATCAGCCCCTTGAAGTGAGGATTAAGTTATTAATGGTCACATTGCCAGTATTAAATTGTCAAGAATAATAATGAATCAAAAACTGTTTGTAGCATCCCCTGGAACACAGTGTTTGTAACCCAAATAGCATTTAATTCTGCAGTTCATGATTTAATAGATGCAACTGGTTTGCCTTCTAGGACACAGATAATTATGCTTTTCACTGTAATCTTTCTTTTTTTTTACTGTTTTTAGGCATTAAGGTGGTTTGTTAATATGTATAATATTCAGCCTGTCTGATAACTGCAGTTGTATTTGCCATGCCTGACTGAGTGCCTTGGAAATGGATGATGCTGCAGATGTGTTAAAGAGGTGGGCAATAAAGCATGAAGCACTCAAAATTCACTTACTTACTTTTTGCAAGGTTTCGTTTTACGGGCTTTAAAATTTTAGACACTAAATTCTCATTTTCTGTTGGGGTGCCTGAATTTAGCAACTTTGTTCAGCATCATGGGCCTTGCAGCGTGTGAAAGGGCCAAGCCCTTACACCAAACCCACGTCAGACTTTAGGATTTTAGGGGTCTATATGCTGAGGCTGCTGTGCAAACTCTTAGGGGCCTATAAATCCATTTGCTTTTGAGTCTGGCAAGGATTTTATCATGCAGAGACAGGTCCTTGGTGTGAAGTTGAAGGACTGTTTTTTTCCTAAGCAGGAGAGCTGGACTCCATCTCTTTTTGGTCATTCCCGTTGGACAGTTAATTGGACTCTTCTGCCTGTGTCAGATAATTCCAAGTGCAGAGGGGACAGTGCAGTGTGTGTGGGATGAAGGTTTCTCGTAAGAAAGCAGAGAGGAAGGGTTGAGGCAGGACTGAGCTCACTACTGGAGTGCATGGCAAGCACTGAGAAGCTTCTAAAAGCCTTTGCACCCTTGGTGATTCATATTAGGAGAGCTGAGCCTTCTGTAACCTTCACTCATGTCTTATAGATCGTGCCCTTGGGTGGATTTGCACCGTAACCAACCGCAGGCAAATCCACCGAGAAAGGTTTTGCCCCTTTGACTTTGGCAGAGGATTTAAGGGGGAAAATGCAGGTGAACAACCTTTAGTTTTCCTGGTGTTGGGTGCTGCTTAATTTCTGGTACTGCTGTGTGCCCCTGTGAGGAAGTGAGTTGTTGAGGGGCTCCTAACAGCTCCAAGTTGCAGCTGGCATCTCATATAATCCCTGCTCAGCCGTGGTTGGCAGGACCTGGGATTGGAAGAACAGACTTGAAACGTGCAACTGGAGCTGCACACGCACGGACTGGGGTGAGAATGAAGTGCTTTCTGTAAATCAAAGGCGGGGATTAAGAAGCCCTGCTCAGAGGGCTGGAACTCGGTGAATCGGATGCAGAGCAAGGCTGAGGATCAGAGGGACTTCCCAGGAGCGCGTTCGAAGGGAGGTGAGGCAGGTGGGAAGAGGGGTCCTTTGGGCAGAGCAGCAGCAGCAGCTTTTCAGCTTGCAAAATGAACAAGCAAAGGGAAAAGTCCCAGTGAAAAAGCAGCTGTATCGTGACAGGAGCCAGGGGACACTGGACAGCCAAGTCAGAATGTTTGCTCAGCTTTTCCAGGGTACAGCCCTGTGTTTGTGAGACCATTTCACCAACCCTAATTACTGTAGTTTCCTAAGTCTGTTAAATGCAGTGTCCAAAAGTGAAAGGTTTGTAGTTTGTTTTTAAAACCTTTGCCTTTATATTTCTAGGATGAAATCAATAGCAGGTGTAAAGAAGATCAATCAGTTATCCCTTTGGAGAAGAAAAATCTACTCACTGCTGCAGTGAGAATTCCTACGTCTTTCAGCTTTTATTCTTCTCTCCCCCTCATTTAGTATTTCCACAGTGATCCTATTCTGTCAGGTGTATTTTGTATTATAATTTTGCATTATCAAAGAGCAAGCCAGATAGTTTTACTGTGTTAGCTGTTTTAACTATGTTTTTTAGCCCCATCCAAGCCTGAATCTTGGGCTTTGCTACCATTTCTCCTGTCCTAATTTGGTCTGTCAGGCACATTTGAACCTGGAAAAGCAAATACCCTGTATTTTGATTTAATTTGTTAGTTATTCCTCATTATCTGAGTGTGAACTGAGTGGGGAGTCTTCATCTTTCTTCCTTCAGTGTAGAAGAGATGCTGTATGTATTTAAATTTAAATTTATCATTTAAGTTAAATGGTCTAACTTAATTTGTTCGAAATTTCTTTGATATTTGGACACACTTTCCATAAAGATACTCAGAATCCCTTACTTCATGACTATGTTTTCCTCTAACTGTTGTTGTTAGGAGCTATAATATTTAGTGATAAGAGCTCAGAAGTTACATCAAGTTATCTAAGTCCCTTTCTGATGAAATTCCATTTTCCCCTTCCTTCAGAACAGAGAGATGCCCTTGTTTGGTAAAAAAAGAATGAAGATATGCCAGTGAATATACAGTGTATTACTTAACTCAGGTAATCTAATTTGATCAAACAGAAAAAGTCAATGCAGGGTTTTATGTAAGTTTAATCTGAACAAATTGATTTAAAAATACAGTATAAATAATTCTTAACTTATATAAAAATCGATTAAGAAAATTTTGGGGGATTTTTGTTTTTGTTTTTTGTTTTTTACTAACTTTACAAAAGAGCATTATTAAACATAGAAGCAAAACATTTTAACTATGGCCTTTTTGTTAAGACATAAAATATGTACACACTCACAGTACTTTCTTTTTTTTTTTTGGTGCAAAACAGGTACTGACTGATAGACTGTACCTTTCTGTACAAAGACAATTTCAGCTTACTTTGCATAGAAGAAAATCAACACACACATACAAAAAAAAAAAAAAAAAACCAAAAAACACTAGATACATAACTTTGTTGTTAAAATACCTTAGGTAAGCCTTTTGGAAAAATTCATTAGGTATTAACTCTCATGAAGAGTCAGTTTTATTTCTAAAGCATTAATTAAGGCTATTCCAGCATTGAGGTTTTGCCAGTGCGTGTCCAAAACGTCCATCATACAATGCCAGACGTGTGCAGTGTGTCAGCAGTAATTACACCTGTTAACACATTCAGCAATTCCATATCCCAAAATTAGTCTTCCAAAACTTCAAGTTTTCGCTGAGGAATATAAAGAGTTCCTTGAGAGATTCTCTCGGTACCATCTGAGTTTGTAGGTAGTGAAGATCCAGAATCTGGGCCTCCTGGTGTGCGGAAAAAGCTTTCTGTAACTGCCTGAGGCTCCTGAGGTTCCTTTGGAGCAGAAGGCTGAAAAGAAGAGGGAAAAGTTACTTTCATTTAAGGGGAATAAAGGTGAATTCTAGCTCTAGGTTTCTGCAGGATATTAGCAAACTCTTCCCGCCCCCCCCCCGAAATTTAAAAACCCTAACAACTTTTTACAAAGAATATACCTGTATTCCTTTATATAAATATATATAAATAAATAAAACTACAATTTTTCTAATCCCCTCCTAACTCCTTTTTTAATACAAACAGATATTAGGCAATACAATATCAAACAAAATATACAGGGAAACTTCCTGGAAGAAAAAAGTATTCTTTAAAGTCCTCTACAATCCTATCCTATCCTTTAAAAAAAAAAAAAAAAAAGCTAATATTAAACACAAGAACTTGTGAATATATTAGGGAAGTAACAAGAAGGAAAGATAAACTAACAAAGGGACAATTTGTTAATAAGCATAATCTCAGATCTACGCAAAAATCCTCCCTCTAAAACAGCTGTCTCTTCACATCTTGTCATCTTCCAGGTGGCTCCACTTCCACAACAAAGAAGTGACTTATTCTTCCTTGCTAACCTCTCAGTTCTATCGTACTTAGGCTGGCCTTCACTGCTAGCTCTTTTTGGGCACTCCTGATTTCTAAAGATCAGAAAATAAAAATGTTTATTTAAAAAACTGTACCTGCTGTAAAGGAAGTGCTGTACTTCCCACCTTCCCACTCAACCCACCACGGCCAGGGTGCAGTGTTTTTGTCCTTACCTTCCCTTCTTGCATGTTGGTGTTTCCTGAGCTGTGGCTGGTGCTTTCTGCTTGGGAAGAGACCGGCACGTGCTGCAGAACGGGATTTGCAGGGACTTGCACACCAGCAGGTATCAGGCCTATGTGTTGCAGCATAAAGTTCAGAGCTGAAGAACTCGGATTTTGGACAGAGCTGGCACTGCTGGAATTGAGACAGGAGTTGCCCAGTACAGGTGCAGCAGCTATGGAATTTGGTGACAGCATTATGTTCAAGGGTGTTATGTGAAAAGCAGGAATGTTAACTGTTTTCAGCTCTGAGGCTGTCATTGGAATGACACCTGAAAGAGAAACATCAAGTGTTGAAGAGGATCAAGAACTGAGGCTCAGGACGTTGTGCTGTGACTTCATTACCTCAGTGGGACTAATCTGGCCCTCAATCCCTTAAACCAGACAAGTCTCTGCCTGTTTTATTGAGCACTCACCAGTAATGGGTGAGCTGTAGGTCGGGTGCTGTAAGGAACACATCCCAGCTTTCTCTTTATTGGAGCAGTCTGCCTTTGTGCCGTGGGTGCAGTGAGTGAGAGGAATGAGATAACCAGAGGGGAAGAAAGTCTGAGAAAGAAGAAGACAACACACCTTTAGCTCAAACATGTAATAAACAAAACCCAGATGTGTTTTCCAAAGCTGCATCTCCCTTGCCCTGTTCTCATTCTTTATCCTCCAGGTCCCCAGGATCCTGTATTCCAGGCCTCTACTACCTTTTGTCTGAAATGAGACACAACTGACTCAAGGACATGCTCTTAAAAGACCACACAGCTGGCTCCGTTTCCAGCTGATATCCTCAGTGATGAACTGAAAATCCACCCAGGATTTACACAGTGCAATTAGACAAGATGAAAGAGAAATCCTGACACTGAATCCTTTTTTCCAGAAGAAATTACTGGACTCATTCATTATCATGTCACCTCATTGTTTTATGAAAAACACAATCCAAGAAATATTGGAAGACAAACCTTTTGCATTTACATGTTCTGTTTTTGTCAACTGCTCTTTATTCAGGTTCTCCTCCACAGGTAAGTCTGGGCTGCAGAATACTGGATTTTACTGATGGGGAGAGAGTTCTGTGGGATTCTGTTTCAAAGTCTATGCAAACAAAGGACTGGGGAGGTGAGGGATCCCATCATTGCCCTCAGCCCTTAGTCTCAGTCTTAGGGTGATCTTAATTCCAACAGAAGCCTGAAAGCCACTTTATGTCCTCTTTATTTCTGTGCTAATGCAGAAACAGAAGTCCTCAATTCCTACAAAATAAGGTTTTAAAAGCACTCTAAAACGAATCCATCCAAAGACAATCTATATAGGTGTAGTTTGCTATAGTTTTGTTTCTTTTGCAAAGACTCCAAGTGGTGTTTTCCCAGGAATGGCAAGACCTGCTGTGGTGCCTGGCAAAGCTTACCTCAGGAGTAGGGATGGCAAATGCTACAGGTATGTCTTGTTTAGTTTTGATTTTATCCTCATCTTCTGGAATATTTTCCTTTTTACATTGGTCACAGCAACTTGCCATGCTTTGATCCACGTTTTGATCTGATGCTTCTGTTTCCTTCTGTTTATCTTCCTGGACATTATCCATTTCATGATTCACTTGTGAGCTATTAGAAGGTGGTTTTTCATTTTTAGTGGATTCTCCCTTTAAAAATAGTACACACAAAAAGAAAGGCAGATATTGTAAGGCTTAACATTCTCAATTACAGCCATACAATGATATCTATACGTTTTTAAAAATTGGAGAGCAAGCTTTCTCCTGACCCCAAGTTTGTGCAATAAAAATTTCTGGTCACTAAGACAACCAGGTCCGTGTTTTGCCTTCTTTCTCCTTCACAGCTGGTGGATGTTTGACACCACATGTTGTCACAGCCTGGTGACAACATACGATAACTGTTTTGGAAGCACAATTTACAGCAAGGTTATAATTTACAAAGGTGCTAAAACTTTCAGCAGCCAAGGAGTAAAAAGCAACCCAGCCCCAGTTTCTCAATATGCATCAAGTTACTCTGAATCTCTTATCCTCCTAATGTGCTACTTTATTGTGCCGACAAGAACCCAACAGTGCACAACACTGGGTGGAAATATTTAGAAGGAATCAGGATTTTGGGACACTCCCTGTCCAGTGACTTTTATGTGTCTACTTCCCCTCCTAACACCTCTAAAGCCAAGAATGGGTGCCAGCAAGTTCACAGAGTACTAGAATGGTACTCTCGACCTGACCTAATCAGAAAAATAGGTATAAATAGGTAAAATATAAACAGGTAAAGTCTTGACATGTTTGGGGAGTTGTTTTGACTAACATCTGTATGCTTTGACACGTGTTCTTAGAGACAAAACCAAGCCCTCCAACATCAGCAAGCAGAACAAATGAACATCATCTCTTCAAACATAATGTTATTAAAAACACCTACACACACTGGCAGGCTCCTAAATCACTGTGAAAATGAGTAGGTGGCAACATCATTAAGCTCTAAAATGGCATTTTAAAACTAATTTAACTTACCAAAGAAGTACCAAGGCTCTCTTCATCACCTCTATGCCTTTTAATTAAATTATTCTCTTGTAATGCTTGTGATCTTTTAAGGCACCTCTGTGATGAAGTTTCTGATTTCGTCTCTGGTCTTTCTTCAGCTGCCAAAGGCTTTGTTGGCTCAGCCGTAGCGATCTGATTGTCCCCTTCCTCAGTGGTTATTTTATTTAACACTTTTGAATTATTGCTCTTAATTCCAGTTACATTAGCACATGGCAGAGGCTGCAACATGAAACCTGGGCTGTAGGTTGTCACAGTGTGGGCTTGAGAAGGATGCAGATATATGGCATATGACACCCCAGAGTGAGGATGAGGTAGGATTACTGGTGAGACTGAGCTGTGGCTTGCAGGGCAGACCCCCAGGGGCTGGCTGGGAGTTGGCTGCTGAGAGGGTTCAGGCTTGGGGACTGCCTCAGGTGAGGACAGGGCACATTTCATTTGCATCTCCTCTGCTGTCCTTAAACAAAACAAACAAACAAAAAGCCCAAACATATTTTAATTCCTTCAGGCAGAAACGAATGCCCTGACAAATTATTTTCTGTAGCGCAAAGGCTTAACGTGAACTTGTACTTCTCAATCCACTGAACAGAAAGTAAGTGAATAAACAGCCTGCAGTACCAATGGTTAGCTGCTTTTGCAGACCATTGCCCCACTCAAACTGAGCATAACTTTAACTTAAATGGCCAGTGGCATCATAAAGCTTCTCACCTCAGCACTTGTGCAAACTTACTTGGATTGCCCTTCCAGCTGCGGTTTAGCGATTGCAGGAAGCTGAGTTATTGTACTCGGGAAAACTGGTAAGCTTTGGTAAGTACCTGGTGGGAGGAGGAAAACCAAAATCAAAACCGTTAGTACATCAAATGTAGAAGTTAAAATTTTAGCTTTAATTTGAGGAGACTGCTTTACTTAAGGCAGCAAACACATTCAGTGGCAAGGCACTAAGACCTATTATCCTCAAACTGCAGCCCAGACTTGATTTGATCAACTGGATGAATTTTAAAGCCCCCAGAGAGGATCCTTAACAAGAACATCAACATTGATAGGTAATTTCCTGCCAATTTTCTGGAATACAGAAGAACTGTTTAGAGAGTATAGCCCAAAGCAAGCCCACATATTTAATGCAAGACTGGATCTGACTTAAAAACAAACTTGAAAAAAAGATACCTACTTGTACTCATTTTAACTGGGCTGGTTGGAGCAGACTGGATCTTTCTTCTGTCGTTTTCTATACTCTTAACTAACTTTATCAGAGATGAATGCCGAGTGAAGTTTTGCTTTCCTTTTGAAGGAAAAAGGTTTTTTGAGCAGTGCTCTTTGGAAGGGACGGATTCTGAAACAGGTGGGGAACAGGTTGTAGAAGTTGCTTCAAGTTTTGTATCTAAAACGCAGGAAGAAAGGAGAAAACACATATAAAATGAAGATTCAGTAGTTAAAAGCAATTATTTGAGCCTGGGTTATAATTACTGGAGTACCAGCAGCAGCAAACATGGAATTCAAGACTCTCACTATGAGAACATCTACTATGTGGAAATAGATACTGGTGTGCTGTCCTGTCAAGGACTAAGGACAGAGATGTGACCAGTAAAAGACTTTCTGCTTAGTTATTCTGTCCTTTGATCTAGAAATTCGAATAGAGAAAACAAAAAATCAAAAATCATCAGCAGAACAAAAGGAAATTACACATACACCTACCCTGAATGTTTGGCAAGACCTCAGGTCCTGTCCACTTGAATGCTGGTTTTCTACCTCTCTCCTCTGTAACATGAACTTTCTTGATAAGCTTAAGGCTGCTGAGAACATTTGCTATGTCATAAAGTCTCCTAATTTTGGCTGAAATGAAATAAAAATAAATAAATGTAAAGTGAAGCAATTCCAATGAACAAGATGAAAAATGGTAGCTAAAAGGAAAAAGCTTTACAATTTTCTTTGTCTGTGGAACAGGTATTTATGCAGTGAAATAACATATTGTGATACAAAGTTTACATGTAAAATAGAATGACCTAGATACAGATCTAGAAAAGAAAATGCTGCAAAGTTTATTATGCTAAATACAGAAAAAAAATTTTCCTGTGCAATGATCAAATCTATACAAATTCTTTAGTAAAAATAACTAGATTAAAAGGCAGGTACACACATGCAATGGCAAACGTGGGAACTGAAGGGCAGAGAGACTAAAATGCAACAGGATAATCATCCTGCATGTTCTTCACTGTCTCTGGGTTGAGCTATTAGGGAAAAGTTGTAGGCACAAGTCAAATTACAAGTGATTTCTAGAAGGCAAAGCTTCTGCTACTGAAAATTTTGAAGTCTAGCAAGTCATGGAACTTGGGACTGTGCTTTGTAACCAAGAACATGGTAAAATATGTGATACCTGAAATACAGGCACATGGCTGAAATGCCCTGAAAATGGTTTTATTGTGAGACAGGCTTTATGGAGGAAGACTGAAAACAAACAAAAAACCCTCCTGACTAACCATCCACCCTGTCTGTGCTGCCATGAGGAAGTGAAAAGGAAATGATGGACTCAAACCAGTGAGTTTTTACATAGATACAATTCCGCAAAATCCTGATAATCAAGGAAGGGTCTAATTTTCAGTGAAATCCACAGTTAATTCTCGATCCCTCAAAAGCAGGCACATTTTTAATTATTTTGATTATTATACATGTACAGACCAAGACCTAGAAGTACCTTTCCATTTGAATGGAGAGGAAGTGTGTAGGGAACTGAGAGCAGGGTAAAAGAATGTAGAAATAAGTGGCAGTTAGAGCTTTTGGTTTCACTTCCTCTGACATTTAAATTACTACTAAGGACTTTTACAGAATCTCTTTATATTTCCACCAAGTGAGTTATATGACCAGAACACAGATTTGAATAACTGGGGGGCATCTTTGGTGAAATGATGCTGAAAACTGACAGGCCTCTTGAGGAAAGAAATTGTTACCAATGAGGAACTTCAGGAGAGAGGATTTAATGAGCTTTTTCTCTTGTGGGCATTTTGTATCAATGACTATACAAGTGGGTCCCTCTTATAAACAGCACAAGGTGTTTAGTGAGTTTTTGGAGGCTCAAATATGGCAGGAAAAATATGACAGCTTTTTACATTATATGAACTAATGGTGGAATAATTCATTTAGCTTACACTTTATATTTACTTACTTTTAAACTTGCTTTTATCTAAGTCTTCTAACTGGTCTTCTCCAATCAAGATTTTAGCAGCCACTTCAAGGCTCACTATTTGAGGTGTTGAAACAAGAAACAGCATCACAAATTTCTGACTCATCACTCGTAAAGACTTGTATTTCCTGCCATTTACTGATGCTGCAGCAGACAGGAGAAGAGATTAAAGTATTGAGTGACACACCAGCTACAAATATTTCTAAAACACTGATAAAAATTTGTCAGTAATAATAATTACAAGAACAAACAACACAGTGACTAGACAGGGCCAATGTGAACTCCAGAATCACGACAGGAGTCAGATAACTGGGTGGATGTCAAGTCTCTAACTACACAGAAGAGAGTGTGATCTTTAAGAGTAAAGATGCTTGACCCTTAATTAAAATGAAATAATTAAAATTTCTTCCATGAATCAAACCTAAATTAAATAATTAATTTATGCTTTTTGCTTCTATAACATTCCATGGTTAACTTCTGGCTTTATAACAATTCAACAATAATTGATTATATTTTAGTATATTTGATATATTTTGTGTATTTTGGCATTGTATGTTGGTATATTTGATAGTTTCACCTGGTGCTCCCTTGTTCTTGCCCTGTAAAAACAAACTACATGTGCAAGAATTGAATGAATAAAACAAGTGAAAGAGTGCAGGGCACTTTTTCTCCCCACGAGCAGTTGTGGTGCCCTGGGGGCAGTATCAGCTCTGAAAAAAAAGGCCAACAAATGTTTTTTTCCAGGTTCACAGATATTTATCATTACAAACACATATTATTCTTAGCATTATTGAGAATTATTACCAGCACGAAATTCCACTCCTGGGAGCTCGACAAAAGACATTTCTGACTGTTCACTCGAGCCAAGAGAACTTGCCGTTTCTTCACTTCTTTCGCCGTCAGGATCAAATTCGTGCTCGTACTCCCTTTTCTTGATCATCTGAATTTGCTGGATGTATTTGTTCTCCTCTCCAACCTTTTTCAGAGCCTGCAGGGTCTGGGGGAGGTTATGTCTGCCATGCCAAACGTATCTGTTCCTGGCCAGGCGGCTCACCATGTGCAGGCTCTCCAGCACGTTCACAATGTCATAGATGCGCCTGCGTTCAACATCTGGGAAGGAAAGAGATGAACGTGACATCTCTTACTACACAAAATATGTTTAGTCATGCATTTACCTGCAACTGATCCCTATCCTTCCTCCTCTCTTAACACACTTGTACACATTTTTTGTCCAATTCCTTGTCACAAAGGTTTGTGGAAATAACCCTCGTAGGTCTTGCCAGCGAGGAAAACAATTCTTGCTTCAGATATGGAAGGACTTGCTGTTGCACAGTTGTACTTGGCTTACAGCATTCCTTAAGAAATAAAACTTACTGTTGCCAGAAGAGCCATTAGATGGGTTTCAATCCAGCTTTAAAAAAAAACAGAGCATTTTTAATTATTCATTGCATTGGTTTTAGATTAGTCCCCTTAAATAACCTTGGAAACTTACAGGAGGTAACTGCTTTATAACTTCTTTTATATGTTGTTTGATCAACACACTGTCCTTTTCTCTTTTTTTTTTTGTTTAAGTTCTTGGGTTTGAGTAGGCATTTTCTAAAAGAGATGTTCTTTTGTACAAAGTACAAAAAAATGTAAATCACAGTGCTTTAAAATTTTTATAACTATTACCAGCGTATAATCTGTAGAACACTGTAACTGCAAAGCTTTTTGGCTTACAAAAGCTTCAGCCTGATGCTGGCAACTTAGACTCTCTGAAGATCATTGATGCAATACAAAAATAGTGATATAAAATGAGAAAGTTAAATTATCATCAAAGGCAGAAAATAGTTTCTTGCTTTGATGTCGTGGTTGGACAGGAAGTTGTGGATTCAGTTTGAAAAATGCAAGTTCCTGCTGCAAAAACCCAGCCACTAATCTTAGCCATCATCTCTGATGCATGCAACTGGTTATTCGTGGTGTCAGCAATAATTTAGATGTTTAATATGAAACAGAATTCAGAGTTTCTCTGTTCGGTTCATTGAAGAAACTTTAGCATTTTAAAAGAATTGTTAAAAGAATTGTTCTAAGAATGAGGAGCTTAAAACTGGATTTAAATAAATTGGAGAGAATACAGCAAGCATTCAACATTTTATGGAGCAAAAATGAACCAACACAACCGGCAAGTTATTGGCACATTTGCACAAAGGAGTCTCTAGCAGCGTGCACAGCAACTTACGTAGCTCTTCAGTGACTTCATCAAGGCAAATGTAACTCTTCTGTGCAGGGCTGGGGTAGTCAGGATATCGAGCTAAGAATTTGTGACACAGCAATCCCAGGCTTTTCTCTTTGCGACTCGGCTGAGATTTTTCATATTCATCTCCCAGTAAGTGTTCCTACGTGGGAACGAGAAAGAGAGGGTTTGGGATTTTTGACAATATGTAAAAATAGATAGATAACAGCTTCGTTGTGAGCAGTGTCAAAGGCCCAGTGTTCTCCCTTTGTCCTCAGCAGCTGTGAAACAAAACCAGCTGAACATTACCTGTTGTATGTTACTAGTCAATATCCTTACTTGTATTTGGTAAACGCTCCAAAATCGAAACTTGAAAAAACCAGTTTCATTATGTCGATGTACAGCTATTCATGCTGAATGAACAGCCTTCAGCTAACTTGGGAAAAAGAAAACATTACCTGTAAACAATGTTTTGCCTGTAGGACCTCAGTTGAACTGTTTGACAGTTGCTTTCTCTGTTCTCTGTTCCTAATCTCAGGGCTGGCTGCACTAATCAGCATTTTCAGGTTGGAAGTAGGTGTCCATGGCTCTGCTGGAGAGGTGTCCTTAGGTTTTGGGGGTGTGGTTAGTGGCTGACAGTCAGGCTGTCTCTCTGTCAGTACCACCTGCGAGGTAGCTGCTTGTTTCAAAGGGGTTTTCAGTACATTTCTGTGTGGCTCAGAAGGCTCGTTTTCCTACACACCAAAAAAAAAGAACAACAGTGAGATTAAAAACCACCGATCCATTTATCAAGAGCAGCCAAAGCGGGGCACAGAGATCCACTGCATTTTTTGGGTAGCTCCGAGTCGATGGCTCCAGTCCTGCTCTGAACCAACAGGTCCTATCCCTGAAAACCATTTCTGTGCCTGGAGCTTAAGGCTCGGGGCCTGTGGCATTTATTCCTTAGGTAATTTTCCTTTTCTTTCCCTCTGGGGCAAAAGCACTCAGAGCGAATGTTGATGCATAGCAGAGCTCTAAAAGAATGGCTGAAACACATTTTCGGCAGGTGTGATGTTCCTCATAAATTTCTTCTCAGGCTGAACAGACACCAGTGTATACGTCAGGGAATTCATCCTTCAATATACAGACGCCTTAACCCACCGCAGAGTCACACAAGTGTCGGCTAACAAGCCCTTAACTTTCGCGAAGAACTTTTTAGCAACGAGCTTTAACAAGCTCCCGAACCGGTGCGGAGTAAAGGGGTGGAATATGACTGCGGCGCTCGCCCAGAGAAAACGAGAGAGGAGGGAATACAGGCGGAGAAGAGGGAGAGCGAAGGATCCCCGGGATCAGGGACCGATCCACTTCCCCGTGCGGTTCCTCCGCTGGAATCCCTTTACTTTTGGCGCCGCGCGTCCGCGCATGCGCGGCCCGCGCTCCGGAGCCCTCCCGGGACGGGATCGGGGGTCTCCGGAATTCCCGGGGGATCCCTGGAGCTCCTGGAGCCGCTCCCGGGGAGGTTCCCGGCGCTCCAGGAGGGCTCGCAAGCCCGGACCCGCAGGGGAAGAGGGCTCAGCCCAGCGCTGCTGGACCCTCCCTGTGACAGCACCGCCGAGCGCTGGAGACGGGCACGACCTGCTCATCGTACCTGCTCCTCCACACAGCCTTCACCAAGGGAAAAAAAAAAAAAAAGAAATTAAGCAGAAGGGAGCCAGGAAGAAGTGGTGCTCCTTAGGGACTCGGTGGATAAAGGTCGTCAGAGGTGAAGTTTTAGGAACTTTCGTTACGGACAGGGATTAAAAGCGGAGCGGACACGCGACCGGTTTTCTGCCGTCCCGCGGTTTCTACGCGCGATCGCTCGGGCTGAGGTGGCTTGGCCCCGAGGGTCCGAGCACGGCCACCGGGGCTGTCACCGCCGCCGCGGGAAGGCGCCCGGGACTCGGGGATTACCTTGTCGCCGGCGCCCATCTCCCCGCCCGCCGGCCGCATCCTCCCGCCGCCTCAGCAGGCGACAGCCGCCGGTCCCGCCGCGCCGCTCCGCATCGCAGGTCCCGCCGGCTCTGCAGGGAGGCGCTGCTTGGCGGGGCAGGCGGTGCCGGGCCGGCTCCCGCTGCCCTCGGGCTCGTCCCGTCGCCTCCCGCCTCCCGGCCCGGCCCGCGCGCGCCCGCCCGCCGCCCAACGGCCCGGCCCCGCCCCGCCCCGCCCGCCGCGGCCCAGCACCGCCCATCGGCCCCGCCCGGGAGCCCCTCCGAGTACCCGGGAGGCGCCGCTCCCGCTGCCCCTCGCTCCCGCCGCGCACCCCACGGGCCGGCGGCGCCGGCGGTCCCCACGAGCGGCGCTGCTGTCGCTGCCGCCGCCCGCGCCGGGACCGCCCGCGCCGCGGGGCCGCTCCCGCAGCCCGGTTTGAATTCACCGCGCGGAGCCGCCGCGGGCGGGTGGAGCGGGCGGCGCAGCCAATCAGCGCGCGGCGCTGCGCCCCAAGCGGCCAATGGGAGCGCGGCGCCTCCGCGGCCGCTCCCTCCCCTCCCCTCCCTCGTCCTCCTCCTCCTCCCGCCTCCCGCCGCCGGGCGAGCGCCGGCGGGGCTCGGGCCGGGGCTTTGGCGGGTTCCCTGCCTCCCGCCCGCCCCAACGGCCGGCGGGGTCGCGGGGCCGAGCGGGCGAGCGGGCCCGGGCCGGGGTGGAGGGTGGTGCGCCGGGCGGTTTAGCGGAGCCAATTTACCCGCTGCCTCGCCCGGTCCCCGTCCCCGTCCGTCAGGGGCTCCGCGCGCCGCCCCTCGCGCCTCCCGCGCCGGCCGCGCGCCCCCTCACGGGGTGCCGCCCGCGGGGCCGCCGCGCCCCTCGGAACACGCCGCGGTTCGACACGGCGGGCTCGGAACAAACAAACACCCCGCACATCGCGCTCGGAACAAACACCCCGCACAGCGCCCTCGGAACAAACACCCCGCACATCGCACTCGGAACAAACACCCCGCACAGCGCCCTCGGAACAAACACCCCGCACAGCGCCCTCGGAACAAACACCCCGCACATCGCACTCGGAACAAACAGCCCGCACATCGCACTCGGAACAAACACCCCGCACAGCGCCCTCGGAACAACCCCGCATGCTGTGCCGGAAACACCGAACGTCGATGGTGTGCGCGTCCCGGGCCGGGGGCTCCCTGCTGGCCCCCCCCGCCCCCGCTTCTCGCAAAAAGAAGGGAGAAAAACGTGAATGTCTGTGAATATCTGAGCGACTGCGGGGCTCGCGGTGGGTGGGAGCGCTTGCGATCGGCCCTGGGCGAGGGGCGTTAGTGTGCCCGGGGTGAGGGTCCGCAGCCATCCTGTGCCGCCTGTCACAGGATCATTCATTCAGGTTGGAAAAGACCCCTGAGATCACCAAGCCCCCAGCCTGTGACCACGTCCAGTCCTTCCTTTAACAGCTCCAGGAACCGTGACTCCACCTACCTCCCTGGGCAGCCTGTGCCAACATATCTAATCACCCTTTCTGTAAATAAATTCCTCCTACTCTCCGACCTTTCAAACCTCCCCCGGCACAGACTAAGACTATGTCCTCTTGCCTTGCCTGGAAGAGCCCGACCCCCACCTGGCTCCGACCTCCTTTCAGGGACTTGTGGACAGCGATAAGGTCCCCCTCGTCCTTATCACAGGGGTTACAACACCCCTGCTCTGCAGGCAGGCGTTTGGGGCGCAAACCCACCTATCCTTGGGTGTTCTTTACACCAGAGCTGGGATTGCACAGAGACAAAACCTTTCAACGCAACTGTGTCATTTTCTGAAAGTCTGAAAGTTTGTAAACTCAAGTAAAAAAAAAAAAAAAAAAAAAAAAGACCCCGAGTGACCTTCACTCCTTGGCATCACCAGCCATGTAGCAGCCAAGGGTTATTCTCTTGCAGGGCATACACGCCCCACCTTAAAAAGGGAGGGGTAGGATTTGGGTGGTCATTTGCTCTTTTTCCTTGTCTGTGCTTTGATACAATTGCTGTGCATTGGTTCCTTTATGTAAACGATGCACTGGAGGGTGTGACTGTTGTGTCCTGGTAACCCAGAGCTGGTGTGGGACTTACAAGAAGTACGCTTATACATACTAATTACAATTATATATACTAATTACAATTTTAAATACCAAGTACAATTATAAATGCTAAAAAAATAATGTGTGTTTTATCTTTCCTTCTTTTTTTTCCCCAGGGATGACTACGTGCAACGCGCATGGAATTTGAGTTACTTTAAATGAGGAGAAAATGCATTCAACGTGTTTCAAAAATCAAACTGGAAAAAAAAAAGTCAGGCTTTTACATTCAAGCTATCACCTGATTATTTATTTCATTTATGCTGAGCTTTGAAAATTACCTTTATCCCCTAATCAAGAAGCCATTATCTCTGTTCAAACACCACGGTATCTCTTATGACCTTTGCTCAGGGAGAGGCTTTTCCTGGTCTCAAATTTAGCCTTACAAGCTGCCCATTTTGACAGTATCAGACATTTTAAAGCAGAGATTAAAAGAATTGTTACCATTGCTGCCATTACTGAAATAATTTTTCTTTTAGTAACTTGTGTGCCTCTTTCGTGATCCTCCTTAGCACAGTACTGCCTTTGCCTTTTTGAGGTTATGGAATTATGTGGAGCTGTCAAGGGTGTTTGCAGCCATCAGTTCAAACTATCTGTACTATTTGTATTTGTGTTTTCCTTTGCTTTTTCTTGAGGTGCTGTCTGCAGCCCTGGGCATAAGAAACAGTGATTCCATTCTCTGCTAAGGTACCTTCTAGAGATAAAAGCACCAGGATTAAAAATTGTATGGCCCTGACATGGCAACCAGAGGCACCCGTAGCAAGTCAATAGCAGGTCTTTTAATGCATAACCTTGAAGGCTCCTGTGTGATCATCCTTGTGTGGGATGTTTGCTGGTTTGAAGTATTGTGCTGAATCAGGACACCACCTGATGCCAGAAATCAGTGTTGGAGAGTGATAGGTGATTTTATCTCCGCTGGTTCAGCTAAAGAGTTACTCGAAGCATCATCATGTGGATTAAAGAGAATGTGTGACATATCCTAGTGATTTGGTCACACTAAATCAATGATAAGGTGGTAAATAAGTGTAGAGTATGTGAAATGAAGTGCTTCTACTGCCTGCATTCTAGTTAAGCATCCCTCCTTCTCTGCCCATAGACATGTTCCCCTTCCAGTCACGGCATTAGTGATGAACTGTGCTAAAGAAAGCACTAATCTGGTTTGCTTTGCTTGCTCTGCTCTGAGTTTTATTTCTTGTATGAACACGTTGTCAGTAATGGATTGGTTTTAGTGTGGTCACAAGGCAGCAAAGTTCAGCACCCTGTGCTCATGTGCTTCACGGATGTGATGCTGTACTTCTGACAAGAGGAATTGTAATTAATGGCTCACATAAAGCCAAAATACATAGAGGATTTTACTGAAATCATTCTTATTAGGTACTTCCATGTATAAGATCACTTACAGAATAACCAGGGAGGTGGTGGAATCTCCATCCTTGGAGATATCCAAAAGCTGTCTGGATGGTCCTGAGCTTCAGGGGCTTTAGGTGGCCCTGCTCGAGCAGAGGGTTGGACAAGATGCCCTCTGACCTCAGCCAGTCTGGGATCTGTGAGATATACAGTGATTGTATTTCTGAGCTTAATCTGTTGTAAAGTTAAAAAAACCCAAAAAACCAAAAATCACTGCTTGGAGGTGAATTGAAAAGTTTCTGTGGTTTGTGCAACCTTCTGAAAACTGAACTTGCTGTGACTGTATGCCCTGCTGTCTGAGTGTTTAGACTATTTTAGGCTGCTTTCCTCAAGGAACTAGTTTGTGATTACTCTCTCTAGGACTGGAATTGTGAATTTGTACTCCATAGCTGCCAGCAGGAGTTTTGCAGGGAAGTGCCTCGAGTTCAGCACCCAGTTCCATTACTGAAACACTGCTTGTGGCAATCCTGGTCAGTGCTGCTGTTCATTGCACAGGTCACTTTCAGTTGTCATGTTTGCTTGTAATGTTTCTTTTATTCAAGTCACTTTTAAAGGCAATAGACACCCTTTTTGTACTATACCTTAATTCTAATGTCTGATGGGTATCTAGGAGAAACTGAAGAATTCAGCAGGTATGTATGACTTCTAGTCAAAAAGTTCATGACATAAGCAGACCCCAAAATACTTCAGAAATCTCTCTGCAGATTGCGTTAAATATTCAATATATTTTAAGTATAGATAACGAAATTATTGTATTAAATAAAAATGAAAAGGAGGTAGAGTAGTTTCAGAAATACAAGGGAGTAATCAGAAACCACAGTTTTTTCCTTATTCAGATGCTTCTGTAATGTTAATCTCTCCAGTCAGTTAAAAATTCTGCAGTAATTTGGATTATAATTATCCTTCTTCTTCCTATCCTTCATCTTCATTCTGGGTTACGCTGCAACAAAAACCTATCTTAATTTCAGAGCTGTGGGTGAACTTTTGCAGAGTGTGCAGATAACTTCAGGCTCTGCCTCTTGCAGAAGTGGTATAAGCGCTCGAGTTCACTAGAGGTCACACTTCCTTCACTCCTCTCGGGCTGTAAGACAGTCTGCTGCTCCTCATGGAGATGTGCTCGCGGGGCTGTGCTCACGTCACATTATTTACCCAGCAAAATGACATGGGTAATTTTGCACAGGGTATAGCAGCACTAAATGGCTTTTAAATGATTTTAAAAAAAGAAAAAAAAAAAAACACAACAACAACCCAAACGTTTCAAAGATTAAACAGGGAAGTAGTAGGGAAACGATGGCAAATAAATGACATGTGGCAGACTGAGAAAACAATGCCTGAAAGCGATCTCATGTATTTTTGGCATCTGATATCTCTGCAGACAGTCACAGAATCACAGAGTGGTTTGGGTTAGAAGGGACCTTAAAGATCACTCAGTTCCACTGCCGTTGGCAGGGACACCTTCCAGCTGACCAGTTTTCTCAATGCTTCATCCAGCTTGGCCTTGGAACACTTC